AACAGTAATATTGTGAAATTTTATCATAATGTAAAACAGCTGTTTTCTATGTTTCTGTTTTTTATGTGAATATATAATAGTGTAATTATATTATATATAATAACCTGAATTTAATGTTTTATGTTTTGTAATTAATAAATACATTGATTTGAAATCCCTTTGACTTCTGTACATTTGTGAAAATACAGAAATTAGTTATGTGGTGACTGCATTCAGATGTATAGAATAATTGTTTTTCCCAAAGACTTATAGTTATATTAGCCAAAAAGTATTTATAGTGAAACAGATTAATTGTGAACTAGATCTATTGTTGTAGATGCCCTGTGTGTGCGGTGCGGGCCCTGTGTGGGCTTAGTGAGGGATTCCTTGGGGCTAAGTGAGGGCTGCCCATGCAGGGCCAACGTTTTGTGGGCCCAGTGTGCGGGCCCTGTGTGGGTTTAGTGAGGGCTAAGTGAGGGCTGCCCATGCAGGCCCAACGTTTTGCCAATGAGCAAATTCTCATGGGCCCTGCGCTAGCAGCCTGCAGGGGGCCCTTAGGCTAGCCCTAAGTGGGCCCGGACAGGGCCAGTGCAGGCTTGTTTGCAGGGATATCTGTTGCTTTCGATGACGTAGCCTACTTCATGAAATCTGCATATAGCGCGGGAATTGAAGATCAGATTAATGTCCGTTTTGCAAAAACACATTTATATGACGAGGTTGAATCGTTTTGATAGGCTAAATCAGATAGCTATCTGATCTGAGAAAACGCATGAAGAGGCCAGGTGTAAACAGCTCCAAAGAGACCGGCTTGTAATAATAATAATAATACATTTTATTTATAATGCGCTTTTCTAAAACCCAAAGCGCTAAAGTTCATTCCAAATCTGTTGTGGTTCATTCCAATTTCCAAACCCCAACGCAAACTCCACGTAAGACAAAGAAAATACAACTGTCTGTCCAGTGCCAGGCGTCGGAATAAGATGAGAGTCAACATCGGGAAGCTTTCAACAAACGGAGAGATCTCCGGTCGGCTCTCAAACGGGTCCTATACAAAGTAATATTGTTCATGAACGTGTTTCCATAATAATACAATACACACATAAAACAGTTCAACATGGAGATAGATAGAAACAAAAACCGAAGTTTTCTACTACCCCCGTTTTCCCCTCACACACACAAGTGTGTAATTTACTCGAATGTCCTGTATAGGGTTTAGTTCCAACCCTAGTTAAACACACTTGAACCAGCCAATCAAGGTCTACTAGACATACTAGAAACTTCCAGGCAGACAAAGCCACTCAATTTCAGGAATTTCAGGCTGAGTAGATTTGTGTGAGTGTGTATGCGTGTGTGTATGTGTACGTATTATGCGTGATTGTATGTGTGCATATCTCTTTAACTTCAAACCTTTTAACTTCAAGCTAATTTATTGGCATAAATGTTTTACAATAGCCTAAACAATATATTTAATATTTATATATAAACAATATGAATGTTAGCCAGAGGAGAACTGGCCCCCGACTGAGCCTGGGTTCTCCCAAGGTTTTTTTCTCCATCCAATCTGATGGAGTTTTGGTTCCTTGCCACTGTTGCCTTGCTTTGGCTTGCTCAGTTGGGGATATTTAATATTTAATATTTAACAATATTATTGATCTGTGTTGTACTACTTTCATGTTATCACTGTGAAGCTGCTTTGATACAATCTGTATTGTGAAAAGCACTGTATACATAAATGTGACTTGACTTGACTATACAATGCACAAAAATAAACAAGAACAATTACAGAGGAATTAATTAATTAGAAATATATGTGTCAGTAATTTTTTCATTTAGGCTACACTGTTAAGTGCAACAGAATGTGAAAATAAACTTTAAAAATATACTACGCAGTGGCGGTTCTAGGTGGGGGCCTGGGGGGGGGGGACCCCCTTGAGCCCCTTGTGGCCCCCTAAATGTGGAGTGTGAAATAATTTTTATAGTGTCACACGCATTGAGCGTGACAGTCACTCATTTTGGTCTTTTGCCACGCATTTATAATAGATTTAATATGCGCAATTTCTCTGGCCGCGTCGCTCTCACGTAGGAATCAAAGTGCTTAAGAATCAAAATCAAAGCACTTATCAGCCAATTAAAAAAAAGAAAAAAGAAAAAAAGAAAAGTGCTAGCCTACTTAATAGCCAATCAAAAAAGAGCACTATTGTATCTGGGTAACGCAACAACCAATGAAAAAAGAGCATATCGTGGAATTGTTCACGTGATTCTGCTACAAAACACTACTGAAAGCATGACTGAAAGTTTCGTTCACCCACAGATGAAACTAACCACTGGAGCTCCGAGAATCAGAGCACGGAGTAAGCCATGATCTCCTGTTTTAATGTTACAACAAATTCAAAACTTGTTTGACAAAAACTATGACAACTTTACTGATGTGAACGTTTCCCAGATAATTAGCATCAGTTTTCCATGAGTGTGTCTGTAACTTAGCCAACAGTTTTACAGCCTGTTCCCTGACAACATTTTCCTCATCACACGATGACTGACATATTGTCGCATTATAAATATCTCCAAATAGGCTTAATAAATTTATTAGCACTAAATAAATTAAAGTGTATTGCGTAGTCGATTTTATAGGTCCCTTTTAAAATCATGTCATGTTTTATAATTATATCCTGGCCAAAATGATTGCGTGTGTTATCATTCACCCTGAGAGAAAAGCTCCCTAAAAAGGGCCAGTTTAGAGGATAATTTAAAAAGAGAATATACACTTTTATTGTTTGTTTTTAAATCCTTGAATGGTCTGGCACTCACATACTTTGATTTATCAAATAGATCCCTACGGTCCTCTGATCAGTTTCTCAGATCCAGATTTAAACATAGGGGGTATCGTACTTTCTCGATCGCTGCCCCGAAACTTGGAATCTGTTACGCATTCACATTAGATTGGCTCAGACTATATCCAGTTTTAAATCATTATCAAAAACCCACCACCTATTAACTCAGGCTTTTAATTCCTCTGGGCGTTGAGCCTAAATTTCTCTGTCGCTGTTCGTTGTTTTCTTTTGTGATGTCTATGTATTTATTGTTTATGTGTTATCGCTGGAAAGCACATTGGTGCAACTGTAGTTGCAATAAATGGTGCTATATAAATACAAATAATAATAATAATAATAATAATTTGCTGATTTTTTTGCATGCTGAATATATATATATATATATATTAGGGCTGTGCAAAAATTAATTGTGATTAATCGCATCCAAAATAAAAGTCTGTGTTTACAAAATATATTTGTGTGTGCTGTATATAATTATTTTGTATATATAAATACCTATGCATGCATGTATATATTTAAGAATTATTTGCACTTAAATTCTGTGTATATATATATATATAAATACATAATCTATATTATAGAAATATAAATATTTTATATATGAATAACACATTTTCTTAAATATATACATGCATGTGTGTGTATTTATATATACAAAATAATTATATACTGCACACACAAATATATTATGTAAACACAGACTTTTTTTTGGATGTGATTAATCGCAATAAATTTTTGCACAGCCCTAATATATATATATATATATATATACACACAGTGTTGGGTAAGTTACTCTAAAAAAGTAATTAATAGTTACTAATTACCTCTTCAACAGTGTAATTGGATTACTGTACTAATTACTCTCTCTAAAAAGTATTTAATTACTTACTAATTACTTTACAAATCCCATATCAATCTCAACCAGCTGAATAATACAAGGATAGACATGAATCTGTTTTAATTCCTTCAAATAAATACTATAAAATTGCATGAATTATCCTTAAACTGACCAAGGTGGAGAAGGTTACATTATAAAAACATACTTTTTAACATCAGACAATACATTTTGATGTTAAACCCACTATTGTTTTATGTCTGATCTCATGACATTTCACACTTTTTTTATACATATTTTACAATAATTCATACGAATTTGTACGAGTGCGGTCGTACGATTTAGACACCTCATAAAATCATACGAATTGCTGTGAGATTGGATTGATCTACACAGTATTTACCTCAATTACATCAGAAGTAACTGTAATTAAATTACAGATAAATGAAGAGTAATCCCTTACTTTACATTTTCAAGGGAAAAGTAATTAAATTACAGTAACTAATTACTTAGTAATTAGTTACACCCAACACTGTATATATATATATATATATATATATGAAGAGTTCAGATGCAAAAGCCTCTAAATGCCATTTGAAATTTTCTTCTTTAATGATGATTTTTATCAAGCTTGTATATTTAAGTTCAGTAATTTCACTTAAATAACAATTAATAGGTAATTATCATTGCCATTTAAGTAAAATTACTGAACTTAAATATACAAGTTTGATAAAAATCATCATTAAAGAAGAAAATTTCAAATGGCATTTAGAGGCTTTTGCATCTGAACTCTTCATATATGCAAATGTAAAAAATTATAATGGAAATTCAAATTCAGTTACTGTGGCTGATAGTAAATATGTAATGTAATTGTAAAAATATAATGGAAATGCAAATACATTGTTGGTTGATTATAAACATGGTATTTTGCTTGTTTATGCCTGCAGTGCAGAAAATGATATGACAACAATAAGGTCTAAATGTAACTGGCCCTTCTAACAGTACAACTGGCCCCAGCTTGCCCCCTTTATCTCACGTTACGGCCCCGTAGAAGCCGTTTTTGTAAAAATAGGTTAACGATTGTGACTCTCTGTCGCACATTAGCGTATAGACAGGAGGAGAAGCTCATGGCAATCGGGGGGCGTAGAGGCATAAAGTTGAGAGAGAAGCCCATATGATATAGAGAGTCATAAGGACTGCTTCTAATGGGCTTCACTTGTCTATGTGTGTCCATTTCTTTTACTGTCGACTGTTTTCAACTGTGTTTCCTGTTTATTGTGGCGTCAGCGTTACTAACCAATGAGAAGCGTTATGGGCACCCCCGCCCCCGGTGTGGCCTTGCCTCGATTGTTGTCATCACTTTGCAGAAGCGTTACGGGTAGTGCTGCTTAACAATCTGCAGGCTGCACCCAGCTGTACTTCTCTCGCTTATACCTTCAGTTTAGTCTATTCCGAATCCTTCATGTCATTGTGGACACAAATAATCCAGGAATAATGCCACTCCGTCAGAATCAACTGGTTTTCATGACTATTTTAGTTTTTGGGATGGCACTGAGTGGGTATGTAATGAATATATCACTATTTGTTGGTTTGACTTTCTATTTGGTTTGTGAATTGGCTTTATGCCCAGCTGCACTACTTCCTGAACTTCAGCCAGCTCCTTGTTTCCTGTCTGCCATTATTGGCCAAATTGATTAATTCAGGTGTGTCTGATTATTGTTGCCATGACTACTGAGGTCAAGCACACCTGAATTAATCAATTTGACCAATAATGGCAGACAGTAAACAAGGAGCTGGCTGAAGTTCAGGAGGTAGTGCAGCTGGGCATAAAGCCCATTAATGTGATGATACCTCAGTATTAATGCAAACTCTTAATTAAGTGTCCAGAAGCACTGGAGTCATTTTTCAGAAGTTGAGAAATACTCTATGCACAATATTAAATTGCATTTATAATATTCAAGGTAGTCTGATATCTTCCCAGACATTTTCATCAATGTCACATAAGATCTCATTCCATGCCTTCTGTACTCTCAGAAAAAAAGGTACAAAAGCTGTCACTGGGGCCTGTACCTTTTCAAAAGGTAAACTTTTTCCATTTTAGGTGCTAATGTGTACATTTTAGGTGCTATGCACATTTTAGGTGCTAATGTGTACATTTTAGGTGCTATTATTATGTACATTTAAGTGATATTATGTACATTTTAGGTGCTATTATGTGCATTTTAGGTGCTAATATGAACATTTTAGGTGCTAATATGAACATTTAAGTGCTATTATGTACATTTAAGTGCTAATGTGTACATTTTATGTGCTAATTTGTACATTTTAGGTGCTATTATTATGTACATTTAAGTGCCATTATGTGTATTTTAGGTGCTATTATGTGCATTTTAGGTGCTAATATGAACATTTTAGGTGCTAATGTATACATTTTAGGTGCTGTTATGTACATTTAAGTGCTAATGTGTACATTTTAGGTGCTAATATGTACATTTAAGTGCTAATATGTACATTTTAGGTGCTATTATGTGCATTTTAGGTGCTATTATGAACATTTTAGGTGCTAATATTTAAGTGCTAATATGTACATTTTAGGTGCTATTATGTGCATTTTAGGTGCTATTATGTGCATTTTAGGTGCTAATATGAACATTTTAGGTGCTAATGTGTACATTTTAGGTGCTGTTATGTACATTTAAGTGCTAATGTGTACATTTTAGGTGCTAATATGTACATTTAAGTGCTAATATGTACATTTTAGGTGCTATTATGTGCATTTTAGGTGCTATTATTATGTACATTTAAGTGCTATTATGTACATTTTAGGTGCTATTATTATGTACATTTAAGTGCTATTATGTACATTTTAGGTGCTATTATTATGTACATTTAAGTGCTATTATGTACATTTTAGGTGCTAAAGTGTACCTTTTGAAAAGTCCCAGTGACAGGTTTTGAAACTTTTTTTTCTGAGAGTGTGCAACAAAATCAGATTGTCTGCTTTGTGTTGGCTTAACATAGAGTAAAATTAAGTGTTTAACTTCAGTATCCTTAAGAAAAAAAAATCTATTCAGATGGAAATCGGTTATTCGGGGTTAGACTAGCATGTCTAATCTGAACGAAATGTCTTATCTGCAAGTATTTAAAGAAATCCATTTTTGGGGCTGTTATGCTTTACATGTAACTCATCAAATGACATTAAAACACCCTTTTGGAATGAGTCATATTTCCTGTATACTCCCACATCAATTCAGCTACCAAACTGAAAAAAACAACAACAAAAAAACATTTGTGCTATCAGTCATCAGTGAGCGTGTTTACATGCATACCATTACACTGACATCTCACAAAAATCAGTTTTTGGAAATAACCTGTTGGCCTGGTTTACATGCAAACAACCTAAATCACGCTTGATTTGGTTTAAATCATGCGGGAACTATCACGGCACACACACACACAAAAGGGTGATAGTCCAAATGCAGTGTATTGGGTAATCAATAAACCATAAATCCAGGAACAGAAAAAAAGATCCCTGTAAGCAGTCCAAAAACAAGAAATAAACACTTAACCAAACTAAGACAGACTCTGGGAAGCGGGTGACAAAATACAAGAATTCTTTAGAAATACATATTTATTATTTTTTTTCTAAATAAATTATTTATTATTTATTTTCTAAAGAAACATGACAATGTATAAAATGCTCCATTACTTTGTATCTTACGTTATGGCCCCCAAATGACAATGACATTTTGGGGGTTAAAGATCACAAAACATAAAATAATATGTATTATTTAAAAGTACTAAAAAATGTTTAACTAAACAGGTTTTAAAGTGATATATGTCATGAATTTATCAAATTATTTAAAAGGAAATAATGCACTTGAACACAAAAATATGCATATTATGTCATTGACCCAACAATAGTAGCCTATGTAATGTACCAACATGCTTCATGAACAGCACCATGTATGCACACATAATTAATCATGTCTTTAAATGAAATGTATTTCTCTTCTCATGAAGTAATGTCGTTTTTCACAGATTAATTTACATAACTATCAACCAGAACAGGTGAGTTTATAGTACAGACATACACTACAAAAATATAATGCAGATGCAGTGTTGTACACTTGATTTAGGAAGATTGTGTATATATATATATATACACACATTTTTTTTTACTGTTTTCAGTTGCAAACAAAGGATGATAGAACAAGACTTCATAAAGTAAGTAATGATGTAATGCATACATATACATCTGATCTCTCTCTTCAACACACACACAAAACAAATAAACGAGTGCAATTTGTACTTACTTTACGTATATTCTTACAGTATGTACACCAAAAGCGCACACCATCATAAATCAAATGAGTGAGAGACTGTTTCTGTTATTAAACTTTGGATTGCGCTCATCTCCGGGGTGTGTAAAACTTTATTTCATATGCTCTGATTATACTTGGTATGGACACACAAACAAAATGAATAATTTAGGAAAACCAAAAATAAATAAATTTTTTAGCAATTTTCTTGGAGTAAAAACAAAGTCAAATCTTGTTTAAGTAATAAATTATAATATAATTGGGGCTGTCAAACAATTCATCGCGATTAATCGCAGTTTTTACATAATATATGTGGGTGCACTGTGTATAATTATATATATATATATATATATATATATATATATATATATACATATAAATACATACACATGCTTTTAAGAAATTAATTAATTAAGAAAGATTTAAGAAAAAAAATATTATTTATATATAAAATATTTATATATAATATAAATTATATATAAATCTATACAGTATATACATGAAAATATTTCTTAAATATATACAAGCATATGTGTGTATTTATATTTATAAAATAATTATACACAGTGCACCCACATATATCATGTAAACACAAACTTTTATTTTGGAATCGCGATTAATCGTTTGACGGCCCTAAATATAATACAACAATAATGAATGTGAATTTGATCCGTATAGTTACTGCTCAGCTCAGAAACATTCTTGGTTCATGGCTATTTGGTCATTATTATTATTTATTTATTTTTTTTTATTATCAGATGAAATGTAATTTGTGTTACAGGTTTCTGTACAACCAACCCAGCACCTTGGAAGGGTGAGTATTATATTTTTAGTATTAAAAGGGAACTTGGCAACTCTTTTAACTGATTTTAAACTGATTTTAACTTTTGTTGTCGCATGTTTTCTCATCGATCTCCAACCTGGGAGTCACCATTTTCACCAGAACAGGTTATTTAACCATCCAAATGATTTCTAAACAGTTTTATTCAGCTGAAATTGTTGCCAAGTTCCCATTTAACTTGTTTTGGTCCATTTCCACCCATGAATGGAATGATAACGGTGCTGTGTATGTTTTGTGTTTTAATACAGTCGGACAGATGTCTCCTCTTTGACACCATGGTTGGCTCCAATCATCTGGGAAGCAACCTTTGACCCAAAACTGATTGATTCTATCTACAAACAACATAATCCCACCATAGCGACCACTGTCTTCGCTTTGGGAAAGTGAGCTTCTCATGATTCCTCTCATGTTTCAATATTTCTCATTCCCATCCCCCCCTCGTAAATAGAAATGAGTGAAGGATAAAGTGGTAACACTTTACAATAAGGTTCATTAGTTAACATTAGTTAATGTATTTACTAACATGCACTAACCATGAGCAATACATTTGTTACTGCATTTGTTCATCTTTGTTAATGTTAGTTCATGAAAATACAGCTGTTCATCATTTGTTCATGTTAGTTCACGGCGCATTAACTAATGTTAACAAGATTTTAATTAAGTATTAGTAAATGTTGAAAATAACATTAACAAAGATTAACAAATGCTGTATATGTGCTATTCATTATTAGTTCATATTAACTAATGTAGTTAACTAATGTTAACTGACGAACCTTATTGTAAAGTGTTACCGATAAAGTGATACGCCAACTGTAGATTTGAAAATCCTGCTTCCCCCTATTATTGTCGAATCACGGAAGCTACATCAGTTACTTTTGCCAAGAGTTTTATTATTTAGTGTTAATTATTTATTATTCAGTAGCCTATGTAGAGGCCGAGTACAGTTCATAGTAATGTGAATAAGAATTAATGTTACACAGGTAAATCATTTTTATTTAGAAGTTCATTTAATGGTTAAAGATGTTAAATAATACTTACATAGTATCACATAAAGTTTGCGTTGGGGTTTGGAATGAACTACAAGCCGGTCTCTTTGAATCCATCTTCTACTTTTGTCAGAAGTTGACTAAAGTTGTGTCGCTCGAGTTGTCTTCGCTGATGCGTAGAATGGCGGCGAATACACAAACCTGCCAGGCGAGCACGAACGCGCATGACGTCACGCTCCTCAGTCTCAAACTCCGTCCCGAATCCCTCTTATTTATTTTACTGGACAGGAGGCGATCGCAGTGGCGATCAGGTGATTGCTTAAAGGATTAGTTCACTTTTGAAAAAACTTTTGCTGGTAATTTACTCACCCCCATGTCATCCAAGATGTCCATGTCTTTCTTTCTTCAGTCGAAAAGAAATTTAGGTTTTTGATGAAAACATTCCAGGATTTTTCTCCATATAATGGACTTCAATGGGAACCAGACGGTTCAAGGTCCAAAAGACAGTTAATAACAGTTTCAGATGCAGCTTCAAATGTCTTTAAACGATATCAGACGATGATTAAGGGTCTTATCATGCGAAACGATCGGTTATTTCAAAACTTATTCCAAAAATGTAACTTTTCTAAGGACAAATGCTAGCCTTGCTCTATTCTGTGAGGCGCGTTTGTAACGTCACGTAATACGTAATTACGTTCAAAAGGTCACGGGCGACGTAGCCGGAAGTACAGAGTCAAAATCGTCCGACATCGTTGTTTTTCCTTTTAATTTCTTTTTTTTGTAAACGGTGTTTGAGTTAGTTTGCACATTCAACCTATGCGTTCAACTTGTAAACACTGACTCTGTACTTCCGGCTACGTCGCCCGTGACCTTTTGAACGTAATTACGTATTACGTGACGTTGCAAACGCGCCTCACAATATATTACAAGGCTAGCATTTGTCCTTAGAAAAGTTACATTTTTGGAATAAGTTTTGAAATAACCGATCGTTTCGCATGATAAGACCCTTGTTCGTCGTCTGGTGTCGTTTAAAGACATTTGAAGCTGCATCTGAAACTGTTATTAACCGTCTTTTGGACCTCGGACCGTCTGGTTCCCATTGAGGTCCATTATATGGAGAAAAATCCTGGAATGTTTTCATCAAAAACCTAAATTTCTTTTCGACTGAGGAAAGAAAGACATGGACATCTTGGATGACATGGGGGTGAGTAAATTATCAGCAAAAGTTTTTTCAAAAGTGAACTAATCCTTTAAGCATGTATGGGTTAGAAAAACAGGTATTTTTAACATGAAATGTTGCGCAATGCACCTTTAACAAGTACATTTTTAGTCTTCACTAACCATGGTATATCTGGCTTTGTCTGTTTGTTTGTTAGATACACACGTTTCCTCAAAGATTTCCTGGAGTCAGCGGAGGAGCATTACTTTGTTGGATTTCGAGTGCATTACTACTTGTTTACGGATCAACCAGAAGCAGTTCCTGAAGTAAAGATGGGTGAAAATCATCATTTGATAGTTCGGAGGGTTCAGAGTTTAGACAGATGGCAGGACATAAGTATGGGCAGGATGGAAATAATAGAAAAACTAATAAGGAACGAACTAACCAATGAAGCGGACTATATTTTCTGCCTGGACGTGGATTCAAAGTTCTATGGCCGCTGGGGCGTGGAGTCTTTGGGTCGTCTGGTCAGTGTGATACATCCTTGGTTCTTTGATTATCCAAGAGATCAATTCCCATATGAGCGAAGACCAGAGTCTCAAGCATTCATTCCAGCTGGGGAAGGGGATTATTATTACACCGCTGCTGCGTTTGGTGGCTCATTGGCTGATGTACATCTTCTCACCAAAACCTGCTGGGAACAGTTGAACATTGATATTGCCAACTCCATTGAGGCGATATGGCACGACGAGTCTCACTTGAACAAGTATTTCCTTTATACCAAACCCAGTAAACTTCTCTCTCCTGAATATCTGTGGCGGGACATCGATGCTCGTGTGGACATGGTGAAAATAATTCGCTTTTCACATGTAGCTAAAAAATATTCAGAAATTCGTCCAAACGAGTAGCAGCTGTTCTCAAAGCCCCACCCAAAGACACAAGTGGAAATTTACATCTCCCACCAAAATCACAGAAAATTATGAGCATTGGTGTGGCACCAGGAACTAAATTTTGCTAAATCTTTTTGAACTGGTATAACGTATCTTTTTACAGAACTCAGTAACTCAGAACTTTAGTTTATTGTGCAATCAGAAAAATCAAACCTTTTTTTTTTTTTTTACAAGGATTTTAGGTGGAGGTTTAGCTACAGAAAGGGGTTAGGAATCGGACCCAAAGCTGAAAATTAACGAATCAAAATTAACAAACCTTTTTCCGAGTCAATTCGTCCATTTCGTTCGTTGAATGAACCAAATGACTTGAAAAAAAGATTTGTTCATTTTGATGAACTGGAGAGTCACGAACGCGCATCACAGAACAGAGCAAGGCGACTATTTGAGCTTATAAAACTTCAACTTTGTTATTTATTTATTAAATGAGCGATCATTTCGCTTGATAAGACCCTTATTCATCGTCTGGAATCGTTTATAGCCCTTTGAACAGTTTGCACAAGTTTGTCTTTTGGATCTTGAACCGTTTGGTTCCCATTGAAGTCCATTATATGGAGAAAAATCCTAGAATGTTTTCATCCAAAACCTTAATTTCTTTTCGACTGAAGAAAGAAAGACATGGACATCTTGGTTGACATGGGGGTGAGTAAATTATCAGCAAACTTTTTTTTAAAGTGAACTACTCCTTTAATAGGTGCTCTGTAAAATAGCAAATTAACACTTTTAACACTACTTAGGATCATATATGGTCCCACTTTATCTAGTTTAAGTAGACCGTTTGTAGTGTTGAATTTACAGTGTTAAAAAAGCACACTGTCTGTTTGGTGTACCCTGGGTGTCCACTAGAGGTCTCTTCCCCGTACCATCACCACCACATCATGAACTGCATTTCCCATAATCCTTTGTCTAAACTAATCACTGATCATTGCACACAGCATTTCCCACTCACATTGTTTGTATCTGTCTATTTATACCCTGTCTGTTTTGGTGTTTGTCATGGAGTTCTTGTCTGTTGTCAGATTGCACTTCTGAGTTCAATTCATGTTTTGTTTCTTGTTTTTGGACTGTCTTTGTATGGATTTGGCTGGTTTATGATTATGGATTACCCCCTTTTAGATCTCACCTTTTTTATGTCTTGTGACAAGTGCATAAAATTACACAATGTAAAGGTTTACATTTTCTATTGTTGAAATAGTTTTACTCTCAACGCAGTTCTTTTTTCTCATTTTAATTACTCTTAAAGTGTTGATGAAGTTTTCAGTGTATTTTTACTTTTTATTTTTACAGTAATTAATTTTTATATCGAAATTTTACCTGTTAAAAGTAAACCCTGCTAATAAATATATTGCTTACTAACAACAATGTCGGTAATTTCAATTATTTGTTTTCAAATTAATTGGCAGGCATATATAAATTCACATCTATTATTATACATGTTTATATTTCTAACCACTCGGATCATGCAGTCCTCCTCATAGATTCTTGTAGAATCAATGAACGTTCATCAATGATAGATGTCCGTTATCAAATCACAGACTTCCACCCGATTCACGCTCAGAGGACCACACTCTCACTCATCATCGTAGTTAGGGAGACTCAACACTTTAGAAAAACACTTCCAAGTTAAAAACTATAGAAATGATCCCTGTAAGTATAGTCTTAATGAATTTCAGCGCTCGACCAGAGACCCTTCAGCGACACGATGAAGCTCGGCGACGGTAATGAACGATGACGTCACATACGCGACTTCACATCGATGGTTAAAACAACGCGCTAAACTCCACGGTTTAAGAAACCATATAAATACAATCTCAAATGAAAGCATATCGTCTATCGTGAAGACTTTAGCTGCAAAAAAAATGAAAATTATTGATTTGAGACACGAAGAGGATTCTGGGCCTTTAAACATTTTTTGTTGTTGTTGTTGAACCGTTTTTATTTCTTGTTTAAACACGTAAATGAGCAGTTTTACAAATGTGCCTAAATGTTGATGAACCGATCAACCTGAATGTGTATGGCCAATGTTGATTAACGGATCAGTCTAAAAAAAAAAAAAAAACTTGATTAATGGATCAAAATCTAAAAATTAAATATGATGCTCACCGTTTAATCTCGAAAAGAATCTCGACTAGTAACAAATTCTTAAACATTGATGTGGAGAACTGTAGTAAAAAGCCTGGTTTAGCTTACTCGTATTGCTGTATTGTCAGACTTCAAGAAATATAATCTTGTATCGAATTTGCCAAAATGTGGGATTTCATCTAACAAAAACTTGATTATTATCTATATATTTGAAATACACTTAATATATTTATTTTACACAATATATATATATATATTTTTGTCAAATGCACAAACACACAGATTTAGGCTTTATATCTCTGCGTGTGTATTGTCGTATATATATGAATGGAGTTGATTTGAATTTTTTTCTAAACGTTTGTCACTAATGTCACTAGAATAATAAGATAAGATGATAATATGAGTGTTAATTCTACTATTCGCTCTGGTATCCATAACCAGGAAATGCTTATTAACATATTCACAATCAAATGCACTACTTTAACACATTTAAAGGTTGAATACTGTGAAATATAAACATGTCACAGATAGATTAATTCGACAATTCAATAGTTGAACTCTAGACTAGAGAGTTTATCAAGTTAACTAGTTCCCTTGACGTAGATTAAAACGACTAAATTTATTAAGCAATCAACTGTTCTATATTACAGCAAATTCTGACTATGGTAAGTAATTCTATAATTCAATCCTACATGACTCAATCTTAATTTGATCTTTTATTGTACAATATTATATTTCTATCCACTCGGATCATGCAGTCCTCCTCATAGACTCTAAAGGAATCAATGAACGGTCATCAATGATAGATATCTGTAATCAAATCACAAATTTCCATCCGATTCACGCTCAGAGGACCACACTCTCACTCATCATCGTGGTTAGGGAGACTCAACACTTTAGAAAAGCACTTCCAAGTTATAAACTATAGAAATGATCCCTGAAAGTATAGTCTTAATGAATTTCAGCGCTCGATCAGAGACCCTTCAGCGACACGATGGAGCTCGGCGACGGTAATGAACGATGACGTCACATACGCGACTTCACATCGATGATTAAAACAACGCGCTAAACTCCACGGTTTAAGAAACCATATAAATACAATCTCAAATGAAAGCATATCGTCTATCGTGAAGACTTTAGCTGCAAAAAAAAAAAAAAAAAATGAAAATTATTGATTTGAGACACGAAGAGGATTCTGGGCCTTTAAACATTTTTTGTTGTTGTTGTTGAACCGTTTTTATTTCTTGTTTAAACACGTAAATGAGCAGTTTTACAAATGTGCCTAAATGTTGATGAACCGATCAACCTGAATGTGTATGGCCAATGTTGATTAACGGATCAGTCTAAAAAATAACTTTATTAATGGATCAAAATCTAAAAATTAAATATGATGCTCACCGTTTAATCTCGAAAAGAATCTTGACTAGAAATAAATTCTTAAACATTGATGTGGAGAACTGTAGTAAAAAGCCTGGTTTAGCTTACTCATATTGCTGTACTGTCAGACTTCAAGAAATATAATCTTGTATCGAATTTGCCAAAATGTGGGATTTCATCTAACAAAAACTTGATTATTATCTATATATTTGAAATACACACAATATATTTATTTTACACAATATATATATTTTTTTGTCAAATGCACACACACACACACACATTTAGGCTATATATCTCTGCGTGTGTAATGTGTATATATATATATATATATATATATATATATATATATATATATATATATGAATGGAGTTGATTTGAGTTTTTTTCTAAACGTTTGTCACTAATGTCACTAGAATAATAAGATAAGATGATAATATGAGTGTTAATTCTACTATTCGCTCTGGTATCCATAACCAGGAAATGCTTATTAGAACATATTCACAATCACATACACTACTTTAACACATTTCAAGGTTGAATACTGTGAAATATAAACATGTCACAGATAGATTAATTCGACAATTCAATAGTTGAACTCTAGACTAAAGAGTTTAACAAGTTAACTAGCTCCCTTGACGTATATTAGAACGATTAAATTTAATATTATAAGAAATCAACTATTCTATATTACAGCAAATTCTGGCTATGGTAATTAATTCTATGATTCAATCCTTCGTGACTCAATCTTAATTTGATCTTTTATTGTACAGTATTATATTTCCAACCACTCGGATCATGTAGTCCTCCTCATAGACTCTAAAAGAATCAATGAACGTTCATCAATGATAGATGTCCGTAATCAAATCACAGATATCCATCCGATTCACGCTCAGAGGACCACACTCTCACTCATCATCGTGGTTAGGGAGACTCAACACTTTAGAAAAGCACTTCCAAGTTAAAAACTATAGAAATGATCCCTGAAAGTATAGTCTTAATGAATTTCAGCGCTCGATCAGAGACCCTTCAGCGACACGATGGAGCTCGGCGACGGTAATGAACGATGACGTCATAGATGCGACTCTACATCGATGATTAAAACAACGCGCCAAACTACTCGGTTTAAGAAACCATATTAATACAAACTCAAATGAAAACATATCGGCTATCACGAAGACTACGTCTCTTCAATGTTAATTCGATAATTGGTTAAATCCACCAAGTTTAACGAGACTTCATGATATTGCCTGATGAAGCAGCGGTGAGTTAAACACCACACATTTAATTCAAGTAACCCTTATTTTCTGGAGTTTTAGTATGTTAATTATATGTTTAAGTACATTGTACCTTTACTAAAAGTTATTTTCTTCAAAAAAAGCTTGTAGAACATAAAACTTTAGCTGCATATAATGTCAATACCCACAATCCTCCTCGGCTGCAACTTTCCTTTTCATACTGCATTTCGTCATGTGTATTAAACCACATCGATCCGCTACATTAAAATTATTAAGGCTACATTTCGAACATTTGAGCACATATTTGTATACTTAACTCTAAAGGAAACAACATTTAAGCCTTTATCGACGTCAAAGTCCTTTCAGGCAGTTTTGGTGCTTCAACTAAATCAGTCCTGTCATGCAACACGAGTCCAAGCATCGTTCCGGCATTAAAACTACTGCTAGGTTCGCACTCTTCTGGAAAACCTGGAAATATTTAAAAACCGATTTCAAGTCCTTGAATTCATGTTTTTTTTTTTTTTTATAAAAAAATCTATAGAATATCTTATTTTTTTAACTTTACAACATTTATTCAAAGAAACACATTCATTATATTATCATCTGTGGGGGGGAATCATGATCTTGGTGACAGAAATAGTGAATCTACAGGCTAAATATAGTATTAAATTATTATATTATTAAATATAATCAATAAATTAACAATAACTAAACTTTGTATTTCAAACGTTATTTTTTAAACAAGATTACACAAATGCTATTGGCATCATGAACATTTAAAGGGATCCTCCACTTTTTTTTGGACATAGGCTCATTTCCCTCAGAGTTAAACAGCTTTTACCATTTTCAAATCCATTCAGCCAACCCATTAGAAGAATATCAGTATCAGACAGTTTCTGGTCCCATTGACTTGCATAGTAGGAAACAATATTTACTATGGAAGTTTTTAAACGTTTAAACGATATGTTTCTTTAATGCTTGGTATTTGGAGGCAGCAGCCAGCAACCAACCATCTCTCTCTCTCTCTCTCTCTCTCTCTCTCTCTCTCTCTCTCTCTCTCTCTCTCACACACACACACACACAAGCACATAAGCACATGCTCCATTTGCCACGAGAATGAGCCTTTAACGGGCATTGACCCAGTCAGTCAGTCTGTCGTGGTCTGGAGAAGTACTCAAGAACACCGCAAGAAACTGGATTCATCATCGTCTGTTCCGTAAAACGCCATAAACGGAGCTTCTAACCCTTTGGATTTTAACAGTAACAGCTGTCTTTCAAAAGAGAAAACCCGACCAATTCACAAAATGTCTTCATTTCATCTCTAATATATTCAAATAACCAAATGACCGAGATATTTAATGGTCGGATCGGTTCTATCTCAACCGCATCAAGTGTAGGCTAATTTATTAATAACGACGAAACCGTTTGTTTTAAGCATGAAGCATAAATAATGTTTAATTCTTGCTCGGATGGGAGATCGTTTCAGTCTTTCTCTGACAACTTGGAGGATTTTGACTCTATACGGAGTGTGCTTCTTTACAGGTCAGTGGGAATTGTTTGTTTGTTTGTTGTTTTTCTCAGCTAATGTTACAAAGTTGAATACCGAGCAGCTTTTCCTCCTCGCGCGCCGGAGGGGATTTAAAGACCTCGTGCGGGTTTGCGGCCACTCGAGAGCAGGGTGAAGCTGTAAGACACAGTAACATGTTTTTAAAATGAGATATTAATACGACGTTGAATTGATTTTTCTTTATAAATATGACAATCGTCTATTCGTATAAGCGTATTTGTATTAGAAGCGTACAAATTTGAACTTTAATAATATTTAATATGCTATTCCATTATTATATATAGATATTATGATATTAGATATTTTGAACTATTTTTCTGTTGGAAACTGCCTGAATGAATCTGAAGTCGAACTGGCGATTCTGTTGTCGTTTCGTTGCACGTTGCAGTGTGTTCAACAAAAGCTTCCGTGTTGCTATAGGAACGACTCGATTCTACCAATCATGATTTGAGAAACGCGTCACGTGGCCTTTGAAAAAGACCCGTATGCGGATAACACGACAGGACGCTGTTGCCGTTGAAAAGAAGATTTCGCTTCTCAGTTCTGAATGGACACGGGCACAGGTTATTGAACAGAAAAAATGCGCTGATGGCTTCTAGACAATTTACAGAGGGGAACGAGACGGAGTTTGAGTCCGACTTGCGTGAAAATAAGGAGGCCGAAGGAGGGAGCGAAACTGATTCCGATGCGTCAAGTTACAGTTACTCAGACTCAGATTACTCAGAGTAAGAAACATCAACACATTCACAAACTATAGTTCTTAATAATAACTGGATTGCTAATTCGATATTTTCATGTAGCATGTTTCACCATAAAACTTTGTTATTAACATCGGTGAACTTGACTGCTGTAAACACACCACCTGGTTATATGTATATAACAGTTACTCTATCATATATATATATATATATATATATATATATATATATATATATATATATATATGAAGAGTTCAGATGCAAAAGCCTCTAAATGCCATTTAAAATTTTCTTCTTTAATGATGATTTTTATCAAGCTTGTATATTTAAGTTCAGTGATTTCACTTAAATGGCAATGATAATTACCTATCAATTGTTATTAAAGTGAAATTACTGAACTTAAATATACAAGTTTGATAAAAATCATCATTAAAGAAGAAAATTTCAAATGGCATTTAGAGGCTTTTGCATCTGAACTCTTCATATACACACACACACACACACACACACACACACACACACACACACACACACACACACACACACACACACACACACACACACACACACACACACACACAAAGTACTGGTCAAATGTTTGGAAACATTACTATTTTTAATGTTTTTGAAACAAATTTCTTATGCCCAACATCAACAAGTCTGCATTTATTTGATAAATAAACAGGAAAAAACGGCAATAGAAATATTATTACAACTGACAATTGACATATTACATTTTAAAATAACAATTTTCTATTTTAACATAGTTTAAAATACAGTTGACAGCATTTATTCAAAATATAAATATTTTCTATCTATGTAAAACAGGTTGCTGAATAAAAGTATTAATTTCTTTCTCAAAAAAGGGGGAACTCGATCAAAGGATAAAATAAAAAAATTAAAAAAGTAATTAAATTATATATATATATATATATATATATATATATATATATATATATATATATATATATAGTTTTTATATAACTTGTAAGTTAAGGGGTCTCTCCTGACCCACATTTAAGAGAGGCTCTTGAAAAGGGAAAATAGACCTCGTCCACTTCCTGCCCTCTCTTTCATTTTTGAGGGGAATTTCTGTTTCCAATTTGGAAAGTCAGCCATCATAAATAATTATATGCTATTCACCATCTTTAGTGAACTTATGGACGTGGTTGCCAAGAGCTAACCTCCAAAGTAGCGTGGCTTAATTTAGAAATGGAGAAGAAAACATCATGTCTGCATGGCTGAATATTGAGTCGAGTTTTTGTGGAATGAAGGAGGGGATTGTGTTTCAAAGGTCTCGGATGTGTGTCTTTCCCCTGAAGCCTTCTGACTTCATGCGTATGTAGAGTTTAGTTCGGATAGTGCTGGGAGATACTCTTATGCCATGTGTTACTTCCTCATCATTTGTTGGTGAAATGTAGTCTGTTGCAAAGTATTTTCACACAGATAGAAAACAACAAATGCACAATATTTGTGTGAGTATTTGATAGTGTTTCAAGCAGGGCAGCAATGTCACTTTCTTATTCTATTTAACTAGATAACTTTTTCATTTAAGTATATGATTGATTATTATATGCCTGCCTACATGCAGTTTGAGTTTTTATTAATTGAGAAACTACATGGAATTTTCTTTTAAAAATGAATTTGTCACTTTTTTATTTTAAAATCTTCAAACTAAATTGACAACCAGTTAACTCATCAAATATAGTTTTTTTTATCTAGATTTGAGTTAATTTGTTGTTATTGTTGATCAAAACTATGAAAACAAGCTGAAGATGAAAAACATTAAATTTAAAATAAACATTAGACAAATAAAAAATGTTGCATTTGGCTACTAACTGAAATAAAAAAAAAGTACTAAAGTACTATAATAATAAAATAGTAAAACAGAAATACTTTAAAATTAAATCTAGATAGAAATATTTGGGAGGGGAGAAACTAAATGTAAAAAAAATACAAAAAGCACATAACAAAATGACTAAAACTTTAACTAAAATTTAAATGAAAACTGAAATTAAAAGCCTTTTTAAAATACTAAAATTATAATACTGTAAAAATAATATTACTAAAATAAAACCTGCATGATTTCTACCTTATGAAGTTGAATGAATTAGATAAAAACGTTTCTGGTAGTTCAAAATGTGAATAAATATTAAATCAGTATAATTAATTGTACTTAAATAAAACTGCAGTCGATTTCTACCTTATGAAGTTGATTGAATTAGATTAAATAGTTTCTGATAGCTCTTATCTTGATTTTAGCCAAAGGATCTGCATGGGCCGGCTAAGTAAAGTCAGTTCTGGGAAATCAAATGACGTTTTGATAGACATATCATCGCATGCTTCTTTAACGTTCCCTCTGTTTTGTGGCGCAGTGACCTAGAGCCGGAATGGCTGGATGATGTCCAGAAGAACGGTGAACTCTTCTACCTGGAGCTGAGTGAGGGAGAAGAAGAAGCACTGCTGGCCCGAGCATCTGCCAATCACTCCGCTGCGACCAATCACGTTCGTTTCAGCGAAAAGGAGGCGGAGATCATCACAGACAATGGTAAAAAGCAAGCAAACTCCAGCAACAAATCCAAAGCAAAACTTAAGAAGTTCACAAAGATCCTGAGACCAAAGCGGCGGCCATCTCAAAGGAAAGCCGCCGATGGGAAAGACGGAGGGTTTTCCCAGCATCCCACCTCCATCCTGAAGAATCAAGCGGGTCAGCGGCCTGGAGTCGTGGTCCAGCAGCGGCGTCTGAAGGACGTGTGTGTGTATCTGAACCCGAAGCGCCTCGGCAGCGCCTCTCCTCCGTCTCCGGACAGAGGCGGCCTGCTGGAGGCCTTGCTGGGGGTCGTGCATCGGCCGGGGGGAAATACTGGGAAAACAGGGGGAAAACTCATCATCCACGGTCTGGTCCCGCACAGTCCTGCTAGCAAGTGTGCTGAGATTCTTATTGGTAAGCACAGCTAGACTAGGAGCAGGTCATTTTTCTTGTATTTTTAATAGTTTGGGGTTGGTAAGAATTTTTTTTACGTTTTTTAAAATTCATCGAGGCTGCATTTAATTGTTCAAAATAAAGAAAATTTGTGAAATATTATTACAAATTATTTTTTTTAAGTATATTTAAAAATGTAATTTATTCCTGTGATCAAAGCTGTATTTTCAGCATCATTACTCCAGTCTTCAGAGTCACATGATCCTTCAGAAATCACTCTAATATGATGATTTGATGCTCAAGAAACAGTTAATATTTTTGTGGAAATCATAATATTTGTCCAGGATTGTATGAGAAAGTTGAAAAGAACAGCATTTATTTGAAACTGAATTCTATTGTCACATTATAAACATCTTTACGGTCACATTTGATACATTTAATGCACCCTTGCTGAATAAAACTATCAAACTAAACAATAAAATGCCAAACTCTTATGTTATTTGGCTGGTGACTGGTAAAACATACACAAATATCTCCTGAACTTCAGGTACCCAATCCAGAGACCAGAATATCATAGAAAATGTTGACTTGGTTCAGTAAGAAACCACCTAGAACCCATTCAGAACCATCTTAGCAATGCATTAACAGCCATTCAGAGATTTTGAACTCACGGTTTCTTCAAAACAGTCTGGTTGATGTAATGAAACTGTGAAGTCGAGCTGCGGCTTGGTGTTGTGGTCGGTTTTATTCATATTCCCTCTTACAACTGCCTGTTAAACACTCTAGTTTTATGTTCCCGGCACATTTGGTAATGAAATCATATGATTGGAAGTAACAAAAAAGCCATTTATTCAATTTTCAGCCATGAATATTTTCCCGTTGATGTACTCAAACGATATTCGAGGGGAACCCGCAGTCGCTCTCTCCCAGACACAGACCAAAGAAATTCCAATGGGGTTACACCACCCCGAAATCTCTTTCCCCTGCAGCTTTTTACGATTGTTTCTCAAACGCCCGTCCATACTAAAGCAATTAGACCGTTTATCTGAAATAACTGAGGGAAATCGTTGCATGCCGCAAAGAGAAGAGTGTGCAAATCGACCAGAGGCAGGTGGAGGTGCTGTTTGATGTGCATTGGTTTTTATCTTGTGGTAGAATCAGGCGACAATGAGCAGATGTTTGTGATCTTTGAGCAGAGTATCTTTCATGCTTTCTGTAGGCGATGCCCTGGTTGCTGTGGACGATGTGGACGTCACCTCAGAAAACATCGAGAGAGTTCTGTCCTGTATACCGGGTCCCACACAGGTAAGTGTGCATTTTTGCCTACATATACAGGATGCATTTTAAAACGCATCTTTTGAGACACCTTGTTCACGTGATCTCGGGATTATTTTTTTTTTTGGTGTGGACACGAGTGCGAGTGCCTAAATGAAATTGACTAAGGGAGAAAACCATAGACTGTAAAAAAAAAAAAATGGATGTAGTTTTCGTAGCGTCACCTGTAGATTTCTGAAGAACCTTTTTGAAGCCTAAAGTAGGCGGAGCCGGCCGTCGCCATCTTGGCAGCGCATCACTCCCGGATTACCAAAAATAGGCAAAGATGTGATTTGCTGAGGTGACGTGATGCACGAACAGACAGCAGACGACGGCTAGTAGTGACATCAGTGGCAATCCACCTGTCACTCAAGTGGCCACGCCCTTAATTATATTTGACCTCTGGAAAGATGAATGTGTTTTTAAAATGGGTCATTTATGTAGAAGAAATGTGAATTTGGAGCTTTCTAGAATGAGAAAAGGCAGAAAATGTATTTTTGGCTTATGTGGATGAAAGACAACAACTCCCAGAATGCACTTGTTTCGCTGCCCTAGGAGGCCACGCCTACCGGTAACAGAACGCAGTAGTTAAACAACAAGTCTAGGCTACTAGTGACTGAGTCTCCGTGTCAAGTCTGCCTGAAAATGTGTTTCGAGATTGCCCAGGGCGATTCGAGAGGGCCGCGGGAGAACGGCGCGAGTCATGTTTACTGTGGCGAGCGGGACGAGTGAGGGCCGCGGGAGAACGGCGCGGGTCATGTTGACTGTGGCGAGCGGGACGAGTGAGGGCCGCGGGAGAACGGCACGGGTCATGTTTACTGTGGCGAGCGGGACGAGTGAGGGCCGCGGGAGAACGGCGCGAGTCATGTTTACTGTGGCGAGCGGGACGAGTGAGGGCCGCGGGAGAACGGCGCGGGTCATGTTGACTGTGGCGAGCGGGACGAGTGAGGGCCGCGGGAGAACGGCACGGGTCATGTTTACTGTGGCGAGCGGGACGAGTGAGGGCCGCGGGAGAACGGCGCGGGTCATGTTGACTGGCGAGCGGGACGAGTGAGGGCCGCGGGAGAACGGCACGGGTCATGTTTACTGTGGCGAGCGGGACGAGTGAGGGCCGCGGGAGAACGGCGCGAGTCATGTTTACTGTGGCGAGCGGGACGAGTGAGGGCCGCGGGAGAACGGCACGGGTCATGTTTACTGTGGCGAGCGGGACGAGTGAGGGCCGCGGGAGAACGGCGCGAGTCATGTTTACTGTGGCGAGCGGGACGAGTGAGGGCCGCGGGAGAACGGCACGGGTCATGTTTACTGTGGCGAGCGGGACGAGTGAGGGCCGCGGGAGAACGGCGCGAGTCATGTTTACTGTGGCGAGCGGGACGAGTGAGGGCCGCGGGAGAACGACACGGGTCATGTTGACTGTGGCGAGCGGGACGAGTGAGGGCCGCGGGAGAACGGCGCGGGTCATGTTGACTGTGGCGAGCGGGACGAGTGAGGGCCGCGGGAGAACGGCGCGAGTCATGTTTACTGTGGCGAGCGGGACGAGTGAGGGCCGCGGGAGAACGACACGGGTCATGTTGACTGTGGCGAGCGGGACGAGTGAGGGCCGCGGGAGAACGGCGCGAGGCTGGTGGCGTGATTACCGATGAGCGACACCTGTGAGACGCACCGGTCTCGTATCTCTCACGGAGGAGCGGGAATTTTATTAGCAATGTTAAAACGCACATCAACCGATCACTTGTTTAGCGTTCATGTAAAAACTAAATTCAGATGCACCAATTGGAATTTATTCAGATTAAAACAAAAGCTGTGCATGTAAACAATGAATTGAGACTGCAGAAAGCAAAAGCTGAATCCCGGACATCGACGGCCGGACATGTCCGGGAAAAAGATGACGGTAACCCCTACTAGTCCGCTTTCTCCACAGAACAAGTGCCTGCTAGCTTAGCTTTCAAAATAAGATGGCCGACACTATGTGTTCATTCTGTGAGTGAGATCGCCCTCTATGAGCGGGTTGAGAACATGACAGATCCTACTACTGACTGTAGTCTTTAGTCTCTGGACAAAAAATCCTCAGATGACGAAAAATGACGAATTTTGCGTCATCGGAGGATTTTTTTCCAGACAAAAAATACATAAAATGGTAAATGGACTGCATTTATATAGCGCCTTTATAGACCTAATGGCCACCAAAGCGCTTTACATTTGCCTCACATTCACCCATTCATACACTCATTCACACACCGACGGCGGAAATCTCTCGTTTCAGGGGGATATGAGGGTGGAAAGCACGGTGATTTGAAAATACTACAGGTTTTCTACTAATACAAAGCTTAATGCTAAATCCTGAAGTATCCCTTTAAGGCTTAATAAAATTTTAACGGAGGAGTTATAAAAAAATTCACCCCCCCCTCAGAGTTCTCATAAATGGCAAAATTAGCTATATAGACCAAAACCACTTTTAGGTACCTGTCTGTAAACATGTTTTTTTCTGCTGTAAAGTTGGACATTTTAGAGAAAACACACCAGGTTCTGAAACAAATGCTCCAAGCGAGTCTAAATGCTTAAAACTAAGACAAAGCTTGAACGATGAAAATGAACAAATGTTTGGCTCATAATGTCTATACAACAGTTCAACCCTGAGGTAAATATAAGGCTGAAATCTCAGATGCTTTTCACCACTTGTAAGACAAGCTCAGCTTTTCCCCATAAACTCCCAAACGCCGAGGGCACATCAGGGCAACTCCATGTCTTGGGAACTGAGGTCGGTTTTAAGGGATTAATTTGATTTAACTGCCTTGAAATTAGACTTCTTTAACAAGACATAATGCTTTCAGGTGAGCACTTTCTAAAATTGGTTTTGGTTTTTGCTCTGCGCCTCTTTGCCTGCAAGTAAATGCTCTTGTCTTGAAAACCCTCCAGGCTAACAATAGTTTCTACATTAACGAATGAAAATTGTTAAGAGAAACGTTATTTGGGCTCGGTGAAATATTGGTGGTACAATCTGGTCATAAACAAGACAAATTGACTGTTGATGTGCATTAAGCTTTGATAGTTTCCTCATGTTGTAAGCTGCTGCTGACAATGTTGGGTTAGTGAGGCTGTTTGTTGCAAATTGTTAGTAAAGTTAAACAGTTTTCAACTCTACAATTTTCCATTCATGGCCACAATAGCTACAACTGACTGATCTCAACCCAAAACACTTCATCTAAACCCCAAACCCAGAAGCTGTATGAACGTATCCAGCAAGCCCTAAACTCTAGCCTGACTTCGTCATACTCATATTCTTGTCGGAATATGAGTCTGAAACTTTGATTATGAGGCGTGTCTTAACCGAACCGGAAAAAAGAAACAAACTCTGCACTCAATTGGATAGTTGGTAGACCTACAACCAATCAGAGCAACGCAGTAAGTCAACTACTTTGCACACAGTTGTCAACTACAGAACTTACTTATTTTAGAAGTAAAATAGCAAGTGTTGCTTCTTTTACTTGGTCCTCCATGAGTACGACCAAAGGAGAAACCACAAAGGCTTTTCATTACGTCCCATCTTCTTAGCGACCGTCAGAGCCAGCTGATAAGTAGGGCTGTCACTTTACGTTCGAAAATCGATTGCACAATCGATCGGACCAACCAACACAAGTATCGAAAACGAAAATAGGGAATCGATTTTAACGGCCTTCTCTCAGAGCGCGTCCAGCTCGTCACGTCACGCCCGCAGCGAACGCGCGTCACACAGCAACACACACACATAACAGCAAATTGTACTTCTGCATAATGAAAAATGTGAATTCTGCCGGTTTTCAGAAAGTCTCATGAATACAGATACAGATTCGGAATCGATTTAGCCGATTAATCGATTTTCTCTCAGAGCACGTCCAGCTCGTCCATAGACAGTATAAGAGGAGCTCGTCACGACACGCTCGCAGCGTCACACAGCAACACACAAACACACATAACAGCAAATTGTACTTATGCATAGTGAAAAATGTGAATTCTGCTGGTATTCTCAGAAAGTCTCATGCGTATAGATACAGATTCAGGCTACAATCGCCTATGTTGGCAAAATTTGTTTGACATTTAAGTAGTAGGCTAATCGAAATAATAACTCTAATCGTAAACAGAACTATGTTGAATCCTAATGTTTTTCATTGATGTTATGGCAGTCCACTCTGCTTATTATTTTTCGAGAGTGTTACACTCCTGTTTGTCATTGTGCACGAAGCTTCATGTCAATAATGTCATAACATGGTTCAAGTGTGTTTCGTCCGTTTTTATTTTAATTTTGAAATATTCATTTATCGGCCATTATAACTGCCGATACCGATAGTTTGGAAAATGCCTAACATCGGCCGATAATATCGGTCTGTCGATATATCGGTCTGGCTCTAATACATACTTATGCATTTTGTTATTGAATATATTGTAACACCCCTACGTGTAAAGCATCAGTGATTTGAACAAAGCCGTAACTCAACTTGCCTCACACCAATTGTGCTGCAGTCATGAATGTGCTGTTACTTTTGATGCAACTATATGTTTTTCTATAACTACAGCTCCTCTCTGAGAGTGCGTTTTCGTTTGATCCCTTCTCAAGCTGGTTTTGTTCACTCCGTTGCCTGGGAGAGCATGGAATGTTGAAATTACAGAGTTCTGTCGCCACGGCAGCGACGGCGGTTACCGTAACGCTTGTTTTTGTAGGCCACAGGAAAAGAGCCATTATCCTGTGGAGAAGAGAGAGGGAGAAAGTGATTAAAGGACGAGAACCGATAGCAAATTACACCATAGGACAAAAAAGGACAGGCGAGGCTATTATGATATTAGGGTTGAGGAACGGTGCTTTTGTGAGGTTTCCTGAAGCTTGCCAAGATTTTAAAATGAGTCTCGGCTGGTGATTTATGAAATGGTAAGGTAAGCATTGTGTGTTTGTTCATTTTAAATGTTAAGAGTTACTACACCACAGGAACAAAATCGTCATGTCCACTGGTCTTTCTTTGGACACTGACACCAGTAGGATTCTTTTTGAGAAATTTATACTTGCATACACTGTAAAAAAAAAAAAAAGTGTTCAATTTACGGTAAAATACCGGCAGCTGTGGTTGCCAGAAATTTACCGTATAAAATACGGTAGCAAGAATTTACGGTAATAACAAGTTAGATAACAAGTTATTTCAACAAAAATACATCAAGTGTGGAGTTGTCACGCAGGGAATTGTGGGAATGTCAATTTACGTTTTTTCACTGTAAATTATACAATGAGTTATTCATTTTCACTTTAAAAACTGTAAATTTAACAGCAAAATTACATGAAATTTAACATAAGATCTATCACAGTTATTTACCGTATATAGTAAGGAAAGGTTCTTTTAACCAATTAACAGTTTTTCACTGTAGCATTTTTACAGTCTTTTACTGTTAAAATCACGATCATTTTTACAGTGTATGAACGCATTCAGAAAAACATACGGTGCATCAGCTTTCATTCCTGCGCTGACAGGACGCCGTGATATCATATCATCATATTTTCCATTGGGGTAAACTGCAATGCGCTTACTCGATCCGCCATGTTTTTTGTTTTGAAAAGTGTCTTATTTTACCCAGAATGCATTGCAGTGTAGTCCTACTTAAGATAGTCAGAGTCTTAAGTGCTACGGTCTGATTTAGATGTCTGACTATCTACTATATGTAAGCCATAGTCAAAGTCTATCTTTGTGAAACCAGCCCCTGGTATTATAGACCTCACTAATAATAAGAAGAACTAGCATTGGCCGCGTAATGTATAATGATATAATGTGTGTATGTGATCTGAAATCGTCAGTCTTCCACATCTCTTAATAACAGGCTTGTTTTTCCAGCTCAGCACTGCAGTCCAGCTGCTCGCGGTCAGCAAACACTCATGTGTGTGTCTGTTCTGCATGTTAAACCGGCGAGTGGGAGTGAATACGCTGTTAACTCACAGATGGGCGCTGTTGCTTTTAGTGATCTCAGTGTGTGCTTTATTTGATTTGTACAATGCTGTTTCTTTTAGCAGGAGTCCTGGGCTGAATCTCGAGTCACATGTTTAACTTAAATCATAAATCGAGTTGAAAATTTGTGCACTAGCTAGCATTCAAACATTTGGGTCAGTATGATTATGAATACTTTAGTTAAGGGTCCAATTCTCGCTATTAACTAGTTGCTTATTAGCATTCAAATTACTAGGAAACTGACTGTTCCTATAAAGCACATATTATTTTATTTTTCTACATGACCATATTCTACATCCATTAACTCTTAATAAGCAGTAATTAGGAATTTATTGTGGTTAATAGTGAGAATCGGACCATAATCTAAAGTGTGACCGATTTGTCTTATTGTTTTTGAAGGAAGTCTTATGGAAGTTATGGCAAGTCCCAATAGTGTTTTTTTTCTGTGGTGTTTCTTCCATTTCAGCACATATACACAATTTGCTTTAGTTGTAATTCTATATAACCTTTTCAGTCTGCCCTACAAACTGATACACAACTAAGAAAGTTCTACATCACTGTTATGTAATATCAGTGCTCATATTAAAGAGGCCATGTAACGCCCCTTTTTAAAGTCTTTATGTTGTTTTTGGACTCTACTCGAAGAGGTTTTCATCCTTCAATGTTTAAAAAACAAATTATTTCCCCCATATTCTCCATTGTTGCTGCACCTCTTTTCCCATTCTGTCAGTAACGCCCAAGGTGGGTAATCCACCAGCCGGAAACTGAAGTCTCCCCGGGGGCCGCCATTGGCTAGCAGACCATCACCTGCTGTTAGCAGTCCATTGACTCCCGTTCATTTTGGCGTCACTTTGACAGTGAATAACTTTACATCTGAGACGTTTAAAGACTACATTTGTCCATTGTTTATTTCTTAAAGGATTAGTTCACTTTTGAAAAAACTTTTGCTGATAATTTACTCACCCCCATGTCATCCAAGATGTCCACGGCTTTCTTTCCTCAGTCGAAAAGAAATTAAGGTTTTTGATAAAAACATTCCAGGATTTTTCTCCATATAATGGACTTCAATGGGAACCAAACGGTCCAAGGTCCAAATGAGAGTTAATAACAGTTTCAGATGCAGCTTCAAATGTCTTTAAACGACACCAGACGATGAATAAGGGTCTTATCATGCGAAACGATCGGTTATTTCAAAACTTATTCCAAAAATGTAACTTTTCTAAGGACAAATGCTAGCCTTGCTCTATTCTGTGAGGCGCGTTTGTAACGTCACGTAATACGTAATTACGTTCAAAAGGTCACGGGCGACGTAGCCGGAAGTACAGAATCAAAATCGTCCGACATCGTTGTTTTACCTTTTAATTCCTTTTTTTTTTGTAAACGGCGTTTGAGTTAGTTTGCACGTTCAACTTGTAAACACTGACTCTGTACTCCTGGCTACGTCGCCCGTGACTTTATATGGAGAAAAATCCTGGAATATTTTCATCAAAAACCTTAATTTCTTTTCGACTGAGGAAAGAAAGACATGGACATCTTGGATGACATGGGGGTGAGTAAATTATCAGCAAAAGTTGTTTCAAAAGTGAACTACTCCTTTAAGAAACACGATGATGTCTAAAAGGCTCCATTACCTTGTATCTTACAATTGTGGCCCCGTAGAAGCCGTTTTTGTAAAAATAGGCTAACATTGCGCCATGACACGCGACTCTCTGTCGCGCAGTTGAGAAATAACCGTATAGACAGGAGTAGAAGCTCACGGCAATCGGGGGGACGTGTCGTGGAGGCATAAAGTCAAGGGAGAAGCCCATAGAGTTTACCAGTTTACTTTATTTTGCTATCCTCACTACATAAATGAACTATAGTGTCCTGCACCTACTAGTAAAAAATATCAAATAAAATCTGGTGTCTGAATAATTTTTGGTTTGACTGTAAGAATGTATAGTTGGTATTTTCATTTTATCATCAGTTTTTTTTTCGTCTGTGTTTCTCAGGTGAGGTTAACTCTGGAGACGGTGTGTCCCGTCGGGAGCGGCCCGGACTCGAGGCCCAAAGCGTCTCCTCCGGTCAGTCAGCTGGTCCGACTGCTGTGGGGCGAGGACACAGTCGAGCTCCAGATGTCCATCGCACATGTCCCGCATATAGTGATGTACCTCTCGCTCAAACTGGACTCTGAGTCGCCGCAGGAGGAGGTCAGTCTGTTCCACTTAGAGCCCTATTTTAACAATATAAACGCATAGTCTGAAGCGCACAGCGAATCCACTTTTGCTAGTTTAATGGGTGTGTTTTGGCATAACATGCAAAAAAAAACCAATCAGAATCAACCCACACACCTTGTTTTCAGACCAGCATAGGCACACAGATGGGCGCAAATGCATTTGCTATTTTAAAATGTAGTGCAGGACGTGAAAATGATAACTGCGTAGGGCTGAAACTAGCAAAAAACACTTGCGTCGTGCTTGGCGCTGCGTTGCTCCGGGTGTATGATAGAGCTCCTAATGTTCAGAGGCTTTCCACCCATTGATTGCATTACAAATATTATTTTCAGCTTGTGGGAACTGGGAAAAGCTAAAACAGCTGTGTGGATTTTTTTCAATGCTAATCCGTTAACATGATTTCGCCATCCAGAAGAGTTTCCCCCTGTCAAATGGTGCCAGAGGCGAGCATGAATGGCTCTGCTGTGCCGCTAACAGCCGCTCGCATTTATAGCCGTCAGCATGACGTGAGGAAACAGGAGAAGAGAGGGAAAAGCTCGCCTTCGTCCCGGCTGAATAATTCACAGCGAGACGCCACGTTCCCATCAGAAAGGAAAACCACTCGTCAGGACTTTGGAAAGTTTTCCTTTTAGAGACTTGAATCGCTCAATTGATAAAGAGAAGCAGAATGTGGATTAAAAGTTAGGATTGTTGTCGGAAATGCAGGGGGATTTCACAAAGAACATGTCTGGGTTAAAATTAAAATAAAATAAACAGACAATTATATTTTAGGAAGTGAGGAATATTTGTGAGGATGTTTTTTTGCATTGTGCATTTATTTTCATAATTAAACACATTTCCATACTGCATATATATATATATATATATATATGTGTGTGTGTGTCTACGTGTATTCTTGCAATACTGTAAACATACTACATTATAATATTATACTGTACATTCCTATGTATTTCTTTGTAAAATCAGCATAAATAACCAAATTTTCTTTGCTAAACATTAACGCACTTTTTTTTTTCTACTTTGGTTTTGGAGAGAAATACTCAGCAATGAATACGTACACAGCAATGATTTATCCAAAATCAAAATACTAAAAAAACTAAATAATATTTAGCAAAGAAAATGAGGTTATTTATGTTGATTTTACAAAAGAAAGTCATTGTAATTTACAATATAATATTTTAAAATATTAGAATATAATATAATTTCTGTATTTCAAGAAAAATGAAAATATATATAATGAAAGTGCTGTCAAATAGATTATTCGTGATTAATCGCATCTAGCATAATTTTTTTTTTTTACATAATATAGGTGTGTGTGTGTGTATATATACATATATTTATACACGCATTGTTTCTTTGGACATTTGATTTTAAAATCAAATATGTTCTTGACCGGTTAATGGTTCCCCTAGTGCAGGGTTCTTCATTTCTAGTCCCGTTGGTTCAACTAATAATTAGATTCAACTAAAACTAAACACTTGAATCAGCTGATCTGAACTAAACTCTGCAGGAATGAGGAAGATTTAAGATTTAAGATTGCTTTTTGGCCGGTTACTGACAGGCTGAGGATATGAACCCACTGTAGCGGCCTGTGTGAAGCATCCCTCCAGGTGCCGATAGTTTAGAGTAGTTGATTTACAGAGTTTAGAGGAGCGTGTTTGCAATCCGACTCACTTAAAAACCTCTTTCTGTCTGCAGTGATTGATTCTGCAGCTCCGAGCTCGACTGTGAGTTTGAGCGTTTATAATGTGTGTTTTTATGCGCTGTCCAAACCACAGGCCACAACGACCACCTCTGAACGCTGACTTGAGCTTTCAGAGCGTAAGGAATACGCTGAAGAGATAACGTGTGTGTGTGTGTCTCCAGGGTGAAGGCTTGCGGTTTGAAGAACTTCATTTGTCACACAAACTCAAATGCACGCGGTCTGAAAGCGTTGCCAGGTCCAAGTGTTCCTGTCCAGCATACTAATCAAAATGACAAAGGAATCGTCCCATTCCCTCCTGTAGACAAACCTCAAACTATCTCACACTGCTGCAGTTTACGGAGGAGAAGAATAGCCATTCCTCATGCGGAAATGCGGTTTTTGGCAAAGTTATGCGCTCATAATTTAAAGTCAATGGGAGTTTAAAGACATTTTTTAAGAAAGAGAATGAGAATAAGAAGGGAATTGGAAGAATAATGCACTGAAGAATCATTCATGATCAGAGTGGGAAAGAGTTTTAGGGAAGTAAATTGGGTGTTGATTTCATAAGTTAGGTTATGCTTTTACAAAAAAGTAAACCTGTTCGTAGTCAAAGTTTTAGTGATGAAAAGTTAGACGAAACAATTCATTTTCATTTCATAAAAGAAGATGCAAAGACTTAAGCATAGGGAATAAAGTGATTCAATCGAAGCATTTACTTGAATCATTTGAACCATCGAAACAATTCACTATAATTATTTTGCAGAGAGAAACACGTTTGATTCTTCTCGTTCAGGGACATAAAAACAGCAATGCAATGTTTTGGGAAAGTAGCTTTTTACAGGCTAAGCTTTTAGTATTTTGAAATGACACTACTGGAAAACAGATTTATTTTGTTATTATTATGTATAGTATTAATGTACTAATATTTTGAATTAGATTTTATTTTTATATTTTCAGTTTTCATTTTAATTTTAGTTTGTTTTATTAATTTTATTTACTTTTATCATTTTTATTAGCGTTTTTTAACATTTGTATCATTTTATTTTTTAAAATTTTTTCATTAATGTTTTTATTTAAATTTTTTTAATTTTAGAATATTAATTCATTCACCATTTCAGCTAAATTTTTGCAAACATTTTTTCACTAAAAATGTTTTGTTACAGTAGCAACACTGTTAAGTATAATGCTACTTTTAGTTAGTTACTTCCTAGCAGGGGTTTTTAGCTCATTTTGTGACATTGACCCCTTTGCCCTCCATTTAATCAAATTATGTTTCAAATAAAGTCCATAAAAGCATTTACATTACAGTGTGAACATGCATAAATGCAGTGAAATGAGCTTGGGTCATCGTAACCTGTTCAACTAAAGCGCCTTTCCTCCGTACAGCAGGAGATTTTGTACCAGTATCCGGTGTCCGAGGCTTCGGTCCAGCTGAAAGCGGTGAGAGGGATTTTCCTGACGCTCTGTGACATGCTGGAGAACGTCACGGGTGGACAGATAGTCAGGTGAGATGCCGAGTTCGCGTTGATGCCAGTGGGAGACGTCCATGAAAAGTTTTTTTTTTTTTCATGAGTTTTGAAAGAAGCACCGATCCTACACTTCTGGAGGCCACAGACCCTACTACTGTCTTTAGCCTCTGGATAAAACATCCTCCGATGACCAAAATGACGATTTTTGCGTCATTGGATGATTTTTTTTCCAGACAAAAAATACATAAATCTCTCGTCTCAGGGGGATATGAGGGTGGAAAAATACTACAGGTTTTCTACTAATACAGCAGCTTAATCCTGACGGATCCCTTTAACCCTCTGGGGTTGTTCGTTTCAGAGTCAAATGGACCCAAAGGGTGAGATTCATATTTAAAAAAAAAAATCATGATTTTTTTTTTTTTTTTTTTTTTTACTCGTTTTTATAATATTTTTTATTTTCTTTTTTTTTTTGGTGTTTTGAGAAAATTAAAAAAAAAATATATATATATATATTATATATATAATTAGTATTAATGCAATACTTATGACAAAATTGAACATAATAGAAAGAATATTGAAAAAAAAAAAATTTTTTTTTTTTTAAAGCTGTATTTCATTTTAGAGTCAAGCCGAGGCCTCATAAAAGCAATTTTTGAAATGAGATGGATGCCATCTGGTGGACAAACTGAGCATTTTAAAAATGCAAACCAATGTATAATTTTTGGTGTGTTTGTGTATAAAAGTGTGTTTGTGTGTGTGTCTGGATGTGTCTGTTTTGCACTCTTGATGTTTTATAGATTCACCCCTTCACTGTTGTGTGCTTTTTCGTGGCTGATTTGTAGATTGTGCGCACAAAAAAGCTCAGTATTTTCACATTTTTGCCAATTTCCCATTCATTTTTCATGCGGGTCCATTAGGACCCGAACACCCCAAATGTGACTATTTTTTCTACAACCACTTAGACTATTCACATCCTGTCCCCAATTTTTTTGGGTGTTCAAATACCAAATACCAACAAAGTCACCAAATTTCTGACCATTCCGATGAAGCGGTGATTTTTAAAAAAAAATTATTTAAATTCTTCGGGTCCATTTGGGCCGAACAACCCCAGAGCGTTAATGTGTTCTCCTTACTGAATAAAAGTTTCAATTTCTTTAAAAAAATTTAACTCTTACTGACCCCCAAACGTTTGACCAGTAGTACTAGTGGATGAGGGCAGTGTCGTCTTTTTGCCTTTACCAGTGCATTTTAATTATCTGTCTATTGCTGTATGTCATGTCACATGTCCTCTGTCTCTCGCTCAGCTCCTCTCTGTGGCTCAAGCAGCAGTTGGTTCATGTGGGCTACTGGAAGGAAGGATCCAATCTGCTGGTCATCGCTGTTCCTGCCAGCAGGTCGTTCTGTAATCTAGATAATAACTGTAATCATAATCAACTCCTAAAACTGAAGGATAACCTCTATAATCATCCCGTCTGCAAACGAGGATCTGTAATCTAGATAATAACTCTGGTGATTGTAATTGGTGTTGATCTTTATACAAAGTAGTTAGCTCATATTACGATCTTTGATTGCGTCAGTTCACTTTCTCAATAATAATCAATAATCTCAGTAACCTGATCCATAATCCCAGATGTTCAGCTGAATTCAATTCATGTTTATTGCTTCAAAATGAAAAAACGACTCTCAAGAACCCGATATATTATTTAAATGTTCATTCTGTACAAAGAAGTTTAAAATGCATTTGCTGCGATGAAATAAACACAGTTTTTGTTTATCTCTCAGTTTTCTGTTGGGGGTAAATGTTGGATGTCTCTGTTGGTTTAGTTCTCAGTTTAGTGTGTGTTTGTGCCGCAGGGTTCCTCTGTTGCATCTGCAAACTGTGATCGAGGGAGTCGTCCGGACGCTCAGGGTCATGTACGGATCTCTCGACAGGTGTGTATTTCTAGACATTTTCTTGAGAGCTTTATTTATCTGTACACTAAAACAAAGATTGTTAGGGTACATTTTCGTCTTTAAAATTCAGTGGTGGAGGAATTACTGAATCTCAGCACTTAAGTAAAAGTACAAATAACCAGATAAATATTTACTTTAGTAAAAGTAGAAGTAACACAATGACAACCATACTTAAGTAAAAAGTGAAAAGTACCTGATTTTAAATGTACTTTAAGTATTAAAAGTAAAAGTACTTGCATAATAATTGATTCTCTTAATGACTATTTTCTAATGATTAATAAAACATTTAATTCTAACCCATTCAACCTAATACCCCTATAATGATGTTCAATAATTATGGGAAAAAAAAGTGTTGTCACCATTTCTGAAACAAGCTTGCAATTAGGCAATATAAACCATGCTTATCCTTACTATATGTTAATGACTATCTTTGGCAGTAATCGTGATTAATTTATTGTGTAATTCTGAACCTCTTGGCTTGCCATAATCCTAACCAAACGTATATTACACACGGTGTGTTTCCTATGCACGTAAAAACAAATTTTCGCGTATAAATTGCACGATAAACACACTGCGTGCAAGACGCATATAGTTGATGTATCTATGGCAACCAAACGTCACTGGTGAGACAAACGTGCAACGAACGGACGGTCAGATTACGTTTTGGCAGGGAAAAACTGATCAGAAAATGTAATGAAAATGTAACAGAAGTTGTAGAAATGTAGTGGAGTAGAAAGTAGAATAATTGCTGCAAAATATAACGAAGTAAAAGTAAAAAGTATGCACTATTTATTCTACTTAAGTAAAGTAAAGATACGTGAAAAATGTACTTAAGTAAAGTAACGAAGTATTTGTACTTCGTTACATTCCACCACTGTTAAAATTTCACATTTAAAGGGATACTCCACTTTTTTTGGAAATAGGCTCATTTTACCACTCCCCCAGAGTTAAACAGTTGTTTTCGGATGTATTCAGACGATTTTCTGATATTTAGAAGAATATCAGTAACCAGACAGTTTCTGGTCTCATTGACTTCCATAGTAGGAAAAAAATACACTATGGAAGTCAATGGTACCAGAAACTGACATTCTTCTAAATATCAGAAAATCGTCTGAATACATCCGAAAACGGTAAAACTCGACTGTTTAACTCTGGGGGAGTGGCAAAATGAGACTATTTCCAAAAAAAGTGGAGTATCCCTCTAACTCAACTCGTTACTTGCTGTTGCTTTGTAATTATTTGTGAGTGCAAATGATGTAAATCCTAGACCAGATGTTTTGAGTGTAGATATATATTCGATAATGTGAGATGATCAGTGTGTAAAGGCTGTCTCTGTGAACTGTGTCTCTCTTCAGCGGGTTCTGTGAGGTGGAGAACGTTCCTCGTCTGGATCACTTCTTCTGCCTCTTCTTTCAGCAGCTCATCCAGCCCTCCCGCTTGATTGACAGCTCCAGGCCGCCCACCCCCGATATCTCAGGGAGCCTCTTCTTAGACGGTCTACCAGCCGTCCGCTGGCTCACTTTACCAGCAGACATAAAGGTATGACTGCCAGATGACTCGTTTATCCACAAGTTTCCGAGGGGCGCTCCTGTAAAAAATAAAGTGGGTGAAACTTCCGGTGACGCGACGGAAGTAGCATTCCAATGGTATTTTGTGTGTTAGTTAGCGAAGAGGCTAGCTGTTTTTCGGAGAATTATTTTACTATTTAAAGACGCAAATCTTTATTTGCGTCTTTATTTGCGCCCACTTTTGACGCAAGGCCTCATGGGGCGTAGGAAACTTGTGGATAGGGGTTTCACGGTTCGGGACGTACCTTTTGGGGTCACGGTTCGATACGAGTTTGTGGCAACAAATCCCCAATGCTAGGTTTCTTTTCAGTTATTTACTAGCGATATTTAGTATGTTGGTATCAGCCTCCTTTAGTGTATTAAACACTAAGCAGTGAACAGAATGCACTCACAATCTGACCAAACAAAACTGAAAAGCATCTTTTGTGTTATAAAAGTACAAAATAAATAGAATAACTTAAAGAATAAGAGAACCGCGGATGCAGTTATTGAGCTTTTTCAATAAATCGCAGAAATATGTGCCATCTACATCTGAGTCTCTTTCACCTTTCCACAAGGACACAGCGAGTGAAGCGGCTTCCCAGTTCCAGGACACGCGTATTTCATCAATTCACATATATATCCCAAAATTCACATAAAAGTAGGTGGATGGAAACATGGCTGATGCATGAGCTATAATTAATGTTTCTGTCATCCAATTCTGTCATCAGTTACTCCAAATCCATATGTTGTGTTATGGTGGACATCCTCACGCAGCCGGTACAATGTGGGCATATTAAAGGGTTAGTTCACCCAAAAATGAAAATTCTGTCAGTATTTACTCGCCCTCATGTTGTTCCAACCCCGTAAGACCTTCGTTCATCTTCGAAACACAAATTAAGATATTTTTGATGAAATCTGAGAGCTCGATCGCTCCTGCATACAGTCCATAGGCTTCTCGAGGGATTGAAACTTGCCGGCCTCGAAAAGTTATTAAAGACATCGGTAAAATAGTCCAAGTGACTACAGTGGCTCAATCTTAACTTTATCAAACGACGAGAACACTTTTTGTGCACAATTATATCGACTTTATTTCAACTATTCACTTCCTTCTCCATGGGCCTGTAGTCAGTTAACGTAGTGTGATAGCGTAAAGCTACGTCACACGTACTGTAGGCTCACTATTGGCCGACGCTGGTCATGTGTGTGATGCGTGTGACGTACAATAACAGAAGCTTACGCTATTAAACTAGTAACCTGACTCGCGCAGAGGGAGAAATAAACGAATAGTTGAAATAAAATCATTATTTTTGTTGTTTTTTGCGCACAAAAAGTGTTCTCGTCATTTGATAAAGTTAAGATTGAGCCCCTGTAGTCACTTGGACTATTTTAACGATGTCTTTAATAACTTTTCGAGGCCGGCAAGTTTCAATCCCTCGAGAAGCCTATGGAGTAGTATGGAGGAGTGATCCAGCTCTCAGATTTCATCAAAAATATCTTAATTTGTGTTCTGAAGATGAACAACATGAGGGTGAGTAAATACTGACAGAATTTTCATTTTTGGGTGAACTAACCAATAATAAATGACACATGGTCTCTTCATTATGTTTGCACTCTCTCTCCAGGTTGAAGTGGACACCGTCCTCTCAGACTTTGAGTCGTCGGACTTTGGTGACATGGTAAGAGGAGTTAATGTGCTCAGATAACTGGTCTTTTTATTGTCATAACTCCAGAAATATGGAAAAACATTGGTGTGACAGTATCATGGCTAATCTACTTCAAAATATTTACAAAATAGTATAATAATGATAATAAAATAACACTGGTAGCAATACACTAATCTTTCTCTGTTCCCTCATTGGTCAGTCTGAGGATTTCTACGGCATGAGGCGTCTCTATGTCATCTTGGGCTCCTGTCTGTTTTACAAGGTGAGCCGTACATTATCATGTCTGTGTGGCGTAGAAAGCGCTACTCTGCTGCTGTCAGTGGGTAATTGAAATGTAATCATGCTTGTAAAGGAGTCTTGTTCATATTAAAACGAGTCTGACAGAAGGGTGACGTGCCGCTTCTTGTGAATACAGCTGTCGGATGAAGAGACTCTTTTAATTATAAATGATGAAGTGATTAGTTGTAGAAGTCTATATCTGTTGCTCCTTTAACCCTGTGATAAAAGGCAGAAAAATAATTCGACAACTCTTTACTTAAATCATGCATTATAAATGTATTTATTTACTATGCATTGAATGGATAATTGTAACCACAGTTATAATACATATCTATTCATTGAACACACCTTTAGAAAGTGTAATGCGTTAAAACACATGACAAACAACCAGTTTCAGATGTAACAAGGAATCTGCTAATTTTATAATGCAGTTTAACTATTTTTGAAAACAGATAATGCATTATAACGTGCATTATTAATAGCTTTATAAATGCATTATACATAAAGGCTTTGAGTTACTAATCTTTTTTTATTGTTAAACCTTTAACAAAATATTTAAAATAAATGTAAAAAAGTTAATGCATGCGTGTGTTTTCTGTTGAGTTTTTTTCAAGATTAGGCTTGATTGGCTCATACTTAAATAACACCTCACTTTATTGATCAAACTGAGCAAACAATATGCGATTTGGTGATATTTATGTGGCCAAAAGGGAAGATAAAATTCTGAAAGCTTTAATGTGAATTATTAAGATCTTTATAACAGAATACATAAATGAAATCATATAAATATCAGTCGTCTCTCTATATCTGCCAAAAATAGGTCATAGCAAGATGTAGTTTCATGATCAAAACTCTGTAGTTTTAAAACATATCATGCAATGCAATACAATGATTGAGAGATCATCCTCAAAAGCCTGATGAATCATATTCGAGACTCACATTTTAACATGATTTTCTAAAAAATTATGTTTGGATAATCAAGTAAACCTAAGCTAATCTTGAAATATTAATAGCAAAAGTCATTTTTAAGTCTTCTTGGTATAAGTCAGTGCAGATTTCACAGTATAAAGACACATGCTGATAGGAGACTTAAAGGAGTAGTTCACTTTTAAAAAAACTTTTGCTGATAATTTACTCACCCCCATGTCATCCAAGATGTCCATGTCTTTCTTTCTTCAGTCGAAAAGAAATGAAGGTTTTTGATGAAAACATTCCAGGATTTTCTCCATATAATGGACTTCAATGGGAACCAAACGGTTCAAGTCCAAAAGACAGTTTCAGTGCAAACTGCAAACTGTTCAAAGGGCTTTAAACGATTCCAGACGATGAATAAGGGTCTTATTAAGCGAAACGATCGCTCATTTAATAAATAAATAGCAAAGTTTAAGTTTTATAAGCACAAATGCTCGCCTTGCTCTGTTCTGTGATGCGCGTTTGTGACTCTCCTGTTCATCAAAATGAACGAATCTTTTCCCGAGTCAACTCGTTCATTTCGTTCGTTGAATGAACCAAATGACACGCAAATGTTTTTGTTTATTTTGATGAACGAGTTCGTGCATCACAGAACAGAGCAAGGCGACCATTTGAGCTTATAAAACTTAAACTTTGTTATTTATTTATTAAATGAGCGATCATTTCGCTTGATAAGACCCTTATTCATCGTCTGGGATCGTTTGAAGTTTGAAGCTGCACTGAAACTCTTATTCGGACCTTGAACCGTTTGGTTCCCATTGAAGTCCATTATATGGAGAAAATCCTGGAATGTTTTCATCAAAAACCTTAATTTCTTTTCGACTGAAGAAAGAAAGACATGGACATCTTGGACGACATGGGGGTGAGTAAATCATCAGCAAAAGTTTTTTCAAAAGTGAACTACTTCATTAAAAGCCCTTTTACTCACTAAAACACTGTGAACTATCAATCAGACTAAATGTTGATCATTTAGAGGTCTTAAAAATATGCATATTCAATATGATATGGGTGAAAACACTCCAGATTACCGAGATCTTTCATTGACACAATCAAGTTCCCACCACTGAAGGTCCTGAACCCGATCTGTGTTTCTCCCTCTGTCTGCCAGGGTTATCTCATAGCGAACCACCTGCCTAAAGAGGAGCTCGTGGACGTGTGTTTGTACTGTCAGCATTACTGCCTGCTGCCGCTGGCGTCTGAGCAGCGTGTGGGACAGCTGGTGGTGTGGAGAGAGGTGTTTCCACAGCGCAGATCCCAGATCAGCCCCGGATACTGCCAGCCACACGCACGACACTTCATGCTCATAGTGGGCCTGGTGAGAGCTCGCTAAAACACACTGTTCTTTCGAACTTTCTGTTCATCTGTGTCTTTAGCAGCAAATCATCATATTAGAGTGATTTCTGAAGGGTCATGTGAGTAATGATGCTGGAAATAGTTTATAATAGTGTATCCACAAGTTTCCGAGGGGCGCTCCTGTAAAAAATAAAGTGGGTGAAACTTCCGGTGAGGCGGCAGAAGTAGCATTCCAATGGTATTTTGTGTGTGTTAGTTAGCGAAGAGGCTAGCTGTTTTTCAGAGAATTATTTTACTATTTAAAGACGCAAATCTTTGTGAGAGATGTCGTTACGGAGCTCAGGGACCACATGTGCTGTTCGCGGTTGTATGTATAACCGGACTAAACTAGTTCAGTGGCTTAAACGTGATTGTTTTGAACATAAGCTGAAAACGAAATCAGAGTGATCCTGCCAACGACTGTAGTTTCCATCACCTCCCAAAAGACGACGAATCTTCCTGTGTACATTTGTTTAAATTCTTAATATTCTATAAACTCTATCAGCATGTGATTGGCTGTTCGCTACTGATGTTACACCTAAACTCAGGATCAAATACCAAAATGAATACCAAATGTGCCAGTTAATGTATTCAAGTAGCACATTCATTTATAATTTTGAATAAACTCCAAAGCACAATGACTAAGTGTGTATTTTTTTATTTTAATTGTTTGTCAGCTCGCACAACTGTCTGTCAACATGCCTTGATGAGTATTGATTATTAATAATGTTATTATAATACTCCCAATCAACTACTGCGGAGGGTAAAGGTACTGTTATTTCACCCTTTTGAATTTCGTTGAGGTTGTGTTCCCACATCGTTAGCTAGTTTGGATCGCTATAACTTGAATGACTGTCAACTGTTGAATGAACAAGTGTCAAGCATGTCAAATCGCGCTTTGTTTACTTCCAACCGGAAGTCGCGCCCACTTTTGACGCAAGGCCTCATGGGGCGTAGGAAACTTGTGGATAAAAGCAGTTTTTCCTGACGTGTGTTTCCAGAGGCACTTCATGCAGTGTGTGTTGCTGGAGGCCGGTGGCTGTGCGTGTCCCGCTCTGGGATCTCCAGGTCCCGACTGCGTTTACGTGGACCAGGTCAAAGCCACGCTTCTTCAGCTGGAGAGTCTGGACGCCTCGATCGAGGAGCGTCTCTCGGCCCCGCCAACTCCCTGCCTCTCCTGCTCTGATTGGTTCCTTCCTGCCGGTGGGCGGGACATCGGCAGCTCGCCGATCCTCAACCGTCTGACGGCAGCGATCAAACCCCCGTCTCCAGGCGGGATCGGGCGGAGTCTGTTCGGGGAGGCGGGATCGGGGTCCTCGAGTCGAAGAGGGCGGAGGCCGAGTCCTCAGAGGAGTGTGTCTGACAGCGGCAGCGAGGGTCACGCCGACTCGTCCTTCACCACACCGGACGCACGCAGAGACTCTTTCGGCTCGGGGGGATCTGACGGCAGCTTGGGAAGTGCAGGATTTTTCAAGGTGTTCGTCTTACATTAATTGCCGTTTATGTACTGTTTTACTTATGTTACACTTTACAGACGTCCATCTCACAAAAACTGTTCAAGCAATGTTATATATATATATATACTAGGGCTGGGTATTGAGACAAATTTCACAATTCGATTCGATTTCGATTACGATTCGATTCAATATCGATTATTTTGGATATCAGTTACAATAAATGGCAATTTTTCTCAAGGGAATCAAATCTCTTAACTAATGCTGTAAACTATGGGAGTCTAGTTGTAGCCTACTAGGCTTCATTAGCCTAATAGGAAGGTAATAATGAATGAATCACTTAAATTACACTTTTATTTATTTTTATAATAAGAAGATTATATGAAATATAAACATTTAAATGGTGGCTGTCATAAAAACTTGCCAGATTCATTAAAATATGCATTAAATATTGAAGAACTTTAAGATTATAATGCATATGTAATATAGTGTATATATTTAGCAAATAGCTCCTCTCTGGAGTTATTTTTTTCTGTCTGACTAACGAGTTTATGTGGGTTTTCTGAGGTAAATATGACGATACATGACAAGACATTGATTACAAGCTGTTTAACTGACGGTTGAAACGCTGATTGAGTGAATCAATGTGACATGATACGGATTTCGATAAGTTGTACTCTATCTTTAACACACTTTCAGATGCTCATTCATGTTTATTTGGCGCTGTGACTGGTATTATTAACCCGGAAGAGAGATCAGCGCTGCTGCTTCTCTTGAGCTGCGCCAGAGCGATCTCACGCCACAGCGCCAAAACGTTATTTATGTTTTTGAATTTCTAAAGAAAATGGACGTAATTTGAAAATTGAGACTTTGTTTCATATCAATAGTAACAAAGGACAAAGATTATTGCGATTTTTTTGAATGCGCGCAGCCGCGAAACAATGTCCCATTCATTCAAATGAAACAGGATGACTAATCGATTCTTGAGACTTAAGAATCGATATCGGTTCGTAAAAATGAGAATCGATTAATATCGAGAAATCGATATTTATTACCCAGCCCTAATATATACCATAGACAGTAAAAGAAATGGACAGAGCGATCTCATTGGACCTCCATTGAGTCGATTAAAGGCCGTTTTTTTTTAGCACTTCCGTCCCTGACGCGCAGACTCAAACAGAGCTTGACTACGTAGATGTGACGTGAGTGACCCGTCTGTCTTCTAGTGCTGTGGCATGAGAAATCTGACTCATTCCCTTCTGAAACATGCAGAGGCGGAGAGTGTGAATATGAGCTGTCCATGAGCTAGGAGCAGGAGACACTTTAGCTAGGTATTCTGATTAATTATTTTGTCATTTTGCCTCCACGTTTCCCCGATTGTGCGCAAGCTTTTCCTCCTGTCCATACGGTAATCTCTCTACTGTGCGACAGAGAGTCGCGTGGGTATGATGCAATCGTTAGCCTATTTTCACTAAAACTGCTTCTACGGGGCCATAACAGAAGCTACAAGGTAATGGAGCATTTTATACATTGTCGTGTTTCTTTAGAAATAAATAAAGGTCAAATTGGGTCTTCAAACGCCTCAAGCCAAGTTCACACTACAGGATTTTAAGCCCGATTTGCAAATCGTTGAGCTCGCCGACAGGTCGAGGTGTTATCGTGTGCAAATCGCGGGGGATTAGCGGACGATGAACGCTTGCCAATCTGTTAGTATGAAAGAGCCAACAACGCAGCGAATACGTTCGCAGACGCGTCGCCGAGCCCAGAAAAATATCTAGCCTCAGTGATGTCATGAGTACAGCCAATCATAGCAACGCAAGGGTTGAGGACACCAGGTAAATCTTAGTTTTTCTTTTTTTCTTTGCATTTTTTTCTCATTGCGCAAACAGTGTGCAGTTCTAGTTTCTGTCTGACGTCCATATTCACGTGTTGCGTTCTCTTCTTCGCCGGGTATTGGCGCACGTTCTGTTTCAACGTCATTTCTGGTTCATTTTTTTTTTTTTTGCGTGATTTTTCGTGACAAAACGTGGTTTGTAGACAAGATAGAATCGTTGGGTGACAGAGTTGTTGTCAACTCGTTATTTATTTGATTATTTTCAGGATTTAGACCGTACCATAGTACTGACCCAGACAGCAAACTGACATTGAATCAACGTGGAAACGACGTCTCTCATGACATTGAAACAACGTTGATTTTGCTCATCGAATTAACGTTGAACCAACGTCAGACGCGGCATTCTTCAAAGCTAAATGAAAATCGAAAATTGGTTTGCTTTCATAACGTTGAAACAACGCGTTGATTTCAAGTTGATTTTCCGTTAGTTTTGAAAGAATGACGCGTCTGACGTTGGTTCAACGTTAATTCGATGAGCAAAACAATGTCAGATCAACGTTGTTTCGATGTCATATTTCCACGTTGATTCAATGTCAGTTTGCTATCTGGGGAAACAGCTCTCATTAGAGTCGCAAATGATTTGCTCTTATCATCCGATTGTGGTTGTATCTCTATGTAGTGCGTTGTCAACTCGTGTAGCGCGTTACCTCCTCAAGGTATCAATCACGTTGTGTTGTGTGGTGTGAACAGCTAAACAACTTGAAAACTCCTGATTTCACAGAGAGCAAGACATGTAGTGTGAACCGCACAGTCCAGCCCGCCGTGAACAAGGCTTCAGATGTAAAGTTATTCGCTGTCAAAGTGACGCCAAAATGAATGGGAGTCAATGGGAATGCTAACGCAAGTGAAGTTCTGCTATGAGATGGCAGCTCCCGCGAGGCTTCAACTTCCGGTCGATGGGTTACCCCCTTGATATACACACACACACATTTTTAAACACTGTCTACTAAAGTTTGAACTTTAAATTTAAATCTAGATTCTACATATAAATCTTGGTAACACTTTATTTCGATAGTCCACTTTAGACATTCTACTAACTATAATTAACTTTTCAACTACATGTCAACTAACTGTCATTAGAGTATTAGTAGACTGTCTGCTTTTTTTTGTTTAGTGCTTAGTTTTTAGTTTAGTGTTTAGTTTAGTTTTGAAGTTTAGGCTTTTTCTTTTACATTTATAGTATTTTGTATAGCAAAAAACTATTATCATTTTATTTTTATTTTATTTCACTTTTTCTTTTACACTCCAGATGTAAATGCCTTTAAATAACTAAAATACTAGTTTTTTTTTTTGTGATTTTCCAGGTTCCCCGGTTGAAGCACCCGAACCCGTTCTACCTGGGCTCGCTGAAGAAGAGTCTGACCGACAGGGAGACTGAGGAGATGCACAATGTTCTCAAGTTAGTAAAACACCATCTAGATCTCAGGGACTCTCATACATATAAACTTCGGTTTCACAGACGAGGCTTAAGCTAGTCCCAGACTAAAATGCATGTTTGAACCGGTTTATCTGAAAGCAACTTGCAGTGACATACTCTATCTTAAAATATCTCAGTTGTTTTGTCTCAAGATAAAAAAAAATATATATTTTCCTGATGTTTTTGTTTAAGGCGCTTTTCTAAAAGCTAATTAAATGTCCTAATCTAAGCCATGACTGTTTTTGTTTTTGAACTTTTCTATTTCATTTAAGAAATGTCATGCAGGATTGTAACGTGTACAGTAAGTCACTTTAAATCAGGGCTCCAGACTAACTTTTTTCACCTCCGTCCTGGAACCGTCCTGAATGACAATTTGAACCGCCCTAAAGTGAATGTCAACCGTCCCAAAATAAAACTTTTGTTTCTGTACCTGCTGTTATCATCCATAGCTGTTAGTTAACTAAAACAATTCAGATGACTAAAATATAATGGGTTTAGTTCAACTGTAATGCATTAATTTAGAATTTCTCTAAAATTTCCAAACCTACATACTTCCAGAGAAAAAAAATCTATTAAAGGGTTAGTTCACCCAAAAATGAAAATTAAGTCATTAATTACTCACCCCCATGCTGTACCAACCCCGTAAGACCTTCGTTCGTCTTCGGAACACAAATGAAGATATTTTTGATTAAATTTGAGAGCTGTATAACTACCACATTGGCTCCTAAAGGACTGCCTCTTGACGGCCCAGAAAGTCAATGAAGAAAATGTTTAAATATCCCAAGTGACTACCGTGGCTCAACTATATGTTTATCAAGCGACGCGAATACTTTTTGTGTGAAAAAACAAACAAAAATAACGAGTTTATTCGACTATTTCTTTTTTTCCTTGTAGGCCAGAACGAGACTTCCTTAGATTTCCACGACGCATGCGCGAGATTTGCGATCTGCTCACACCAGCTTACACTACTTCAGATCGCAATTCTCGCGCATGCGTCGTGGAAATCTAAGGAAGTCTCGTTCTGGCCTACAAGAGGCCAATATAGACTAGGCCTATTATATAGCCAACTGGTCAAAACAACGTTAAATTCTTAAATAAAAAACTACAAAGCAACGTGAGCGATCACACACTTACTCAGTCGACATCTGACCGTCAGTCCAGCTGGTTTGGGTCGCTTTTTCCAATTGAGTTTAGGGACGTAGAAGAACGTCTCCAGGTTTAGCATTGCAGGGAAAATGTCATTGGATGTAGCTAATGCAGACAGCGGGCCTCCTCGTCAATCGATAGGTTAGTTCGGTATACTCCGGTTCATTTATCACTTCAGGTATCCCTTTGTCGTTGTGCTAAAATTACTTTCATCATCTGATCCGTCTGACATTGTGCTAAAATTCGTTTCATCATCATAAGTTTCCCAGTCAGACATGTTGTCAGCGAGTCGCGCGCTATCAACAGCTGATCGTAACGTGCGCACTGTTGACGTTGCGGCGGCGCGGATTGATAGAAATGGATAGAAAATAGTGCCGCATTAAAACTGAGGTATGAATTTTGCCCGGCGTGTTTTTTGTGTGGTAAATTAATCAAGCTTTGAAACGCAAATCATTTTTTCACGTAAAAACGCACAGTTTTGTGGCCCGGGAGTACTTCATTGAAAAACTTCCAGCGGTCAGAACTCTGACCAGGGGGGTCACAACAGAGTGGGTCAGTGTGTATACACTATAGTGCTGGTAAGGATTGCATACAACTTCATGTCTTAAATGGGCAAACTAACCCTTTAAACTTGTTGTTTTGACGACAAAATTAATGACCGACACATATGGTTGCTGTCTCTTTAAGAGCTATGGCACGGATTCTGTGTTCATTACGCTGGCATGCGTTTTATGCTTATTAAAGACAAAACCGACTATGTTTAGACTATTATACTCACGAAGACCGAAATTGACACAGTTTTGCATGTTAAATGCAATATAATCCGTGAAAAATAACTTTTGTTTCTGGCCAGCTGTTCTTGAGGCGGATTTTCTATGAATGTGCGCATAGTCATCCCAGAGAGCGCGCAAGCACTGATCAGTTTAAAATCGCCTGAATGTTTAAACTGGTGAGACTTAAAAAGACGTGCAAATGGTAAACTTGATTCACGATGCACTGCTGGCCCGATTGTGCAAGTGAATATCCCGTCATGTCCCACTCCTGAACGCGAGTGTGTATTATCGCAGCAGCGACTGATGCTTGCCTTCCACAACATTTTGAGAGAAGAGAAGACGCTGAACACTCACGCTGTAAACACATTTTCTATCGTCCCCAGGACGATAGGACGCCGTCAGTCTCGAGCCCTGCTTTAAATGTCTAAATGACTCTGTACTTTTTAGTCAGTCAGTCATATTTATCTATAGAGCACATTTAAAAACAAGTACCCATAAAACATAAAACCACAAATAAACAATACACAAAACAATGCAGTACCTTTACAGCCGCTTAGATGAAGAACAAAGTGAGTGGTTTGACCTCGCGTCATGTGAATGCTGCTCAGATGCCCATGTGTGTGTGTGTGTGTGTGTGTTGACAGACTGACCGCAGGCACTGAGAACACACTGTTTCATTACGTGCTGATGGAGACGGTGCAGGGCATCTTTATCGCTCCCACACACAGAGAAGTCCATCATCTGAGCGGCTCCATCCACCCTCAGCTCATCCACAACTTCTACCACTGCTGTCTGTCCATACGACAGGCCTTCACGCTGAGCCTGCCCTCACGGGTAACAGCTTCTGTCCTGTTTCTGTTCATCAAAGAAATGCATCACGGTTTCCACACACATTTAGCAGCTCAACTGTTTTCAACACTGATGATAATAATCATAAATGTTTCTTGAGTATCAAATCATCATATTAGAGTGATTTCTGTAGGGTCATGTGACTCTGAAGACTGGAGTAATGATGCTGAAAATACCGCTTTGATCACAGGAATCAATTAAATGTTAAGATATAATAAAATAGAAAACAGCTGTTTTAAACTGTAAGAATATTTTACAATTTTACGGTATTTTTTAATTCAGACTTTCAAAAACATTAATAATCTTACCGAGCCCAAACTTTTCAATGGTCGCGTATTTAATTCTATATATGATTTAAAAATATATAGTTGTAAAAGTTGCATTAATTCGTTTTATTTTAAAATTTAAATATTTTGTTATAACTAATTGCAATTTTAAAAGTCTGTATATTCATTCATTGTTCATTCTTTACGACCATTTTTTAAGAACCTTCTCTTTTTTAATAAACAAGCACGTATTATTTATATACTATTATAGTTTCATACATTTTTTTTAATTAATTTTTGTTTTAATAATTTTGTCTTTTATTACTACATGTATCATTGTCAGTTAAGTTTTTCATCTAATATATAAAGTATATATAATATATATAAAATGTATTTTAATTTATTTACCGAGTTGTCATGCATTTCCTCTGTATTGTCTGTTAAATAATCTTAAACATATGAATCGATAAGCTACCGCAGAGGTCATTTCTATGCTGTAGTTATAGTATATATTTGCTCTGCTCTGTGTTAGAGTTATATAAGGTGTGGGAAAAATAATAAGCTTCTGCTTCATCGAACATATTGAAATTATTGTTATAATACTTAATAGATATTCTTTTTTTCTTTTGGTATTTTGCTACATACTGATTGTATGTTTACTTTTTAATTTATTTGTATATTTTTGTTGTTCGAAATAAAAAACTGAATGAAATGAAGGGGTTTGATGGTCTCACGCGAGTGTGTGTGTGTTTCAGGATCGCAGAGGGACCGAGCGGCCCCAGAGCACTCGAGGTTTGGGTCCAGTCAAAGAACATGGAGTTCTGTTCCAGTGCAAACCTGAGAACTGGACCGATCAGAAGAAACCCGCCCCCACCATGACCTACTGGGTCATAGGGTACGTGACCTCTGACCTCTTATGACAACTCAACATATTCCATGGGTTGAGATTAGAGGTGGAATGAATCAAAAAGATCAAATCACTTTGTTCAGAGCGTGCTTAAACTTTTTACTCTAAATCTACAAAGTGATGAATAAAGATTTTTATTCAGTTTGTTAAATTAAATCATTTCCCATTTGTTATTACGACTTTGTGGTGAAGTTCATGTGTATTCACATAAGTAAAATCGTGTACTTTTAGCATTTGACAAAATTGTAGTAATATTTTAAAACATTACTGTTTTTACTGATTTTTGATCAAATAATTGTTGACTTACGAGACAAAATTTTGAACGCTAGTGCATTTAATTCTATATATAATATATATTAATTTAATATTAACTTAATTGAATATTTTAATTTAACAGCACTTTAATAACTTTGCGTATTTGTCCGTTGTATATTTAAAAATCTAAATATTGTTTTAAAAAAAATCAGTTTGTTTATTTTATGTATATTGTTTAAATTTCACTTAGTTTTTTTAATAATTAATTACAATTTTAAGTAAGTCTATTCTTTAAATGTCACTTAGTTTTTTTCATAATTACAATTTTAAGTCTATTCTTTAAATTTAACTTAGTTTTTTTTAATAATTACACTTTTAAGTAAGTCTATTTTTTAAATTTCACTTAGTTTTTTTAATAATTACACCTTTAAGTAAGTCTATTCTTTAAATTTCACTTAGTTTTTTCATAATTACAATTTTAAATAAGTATTCTTTTAATTTCACTTAGTTTTTTAATAATTAATTACAATTTTAAGTAAGTCTATTCTTTATATTTCACTTAGTTTTTTCATAATTACACCTTTAAGTAAGTCTATTCTTTTAATTTCACTTAGTTTTTTCATAATTACAATTTTAAATAAGTCTATTCTTTTAATTTCACTTAGTTTTTAATAATTAATTACAATTTTAAGTAAGTCTATTCTTTAAATGTCACTTAGTTTTTTTCATAATTACAATTTTAAGTCTATTCTTTAAATTTCACTTAGTTTTTTTTAATAATTACACCTTTAAGTAAGTCTATTCTTTTAATTTCACTTAGTTTTTTTTAATAATTACACTTTTAAGTAAGTCTATTTTTTAAATTACACTTAGTTTTTTTTAATAATTACACCTTTAAGTAAGTCTATTCTTTAAATTTCACTTAGTTTTTTCATAATTACAATTTTAAATAAGTATTCTTTTAATTTCACTTAGTTTTTTAATAATTAATTACAATTTTAAGTAAGTCTATTCTTTATATTTCACTTAGTTTTTTCATAATTACACCTTTAAGTAAGTCTATTCTTTTAATTTCACTTAGTTTTTAATAATTAATTACAATTTTAAGTAAGTCTATTCTTTAAATTTCACTTAGTTTTTCATAATTACAATTTTAAATAAGTCTATTCTTTTAATTTCACTTAGTTTTTAATAATTAATTACAATTTTAAGTAAGTCTATTGTTTAAATTTCACTTAGTTTTTTCATAATTACAATTTTAAGTAAGTCTATTCTTTAAATTTCACTTAGTTTTTTCATAATTAATTACAATTCTAAGCAAGTCTGTTTAGTACAGTGTATGTGTATTTATTTTTAAATGCATTGATAATAATAAAAAAAAGTACAGTTATAATATCCTCCTCCGTTTTCCTCACAGGGGATATTAGAGACGTTGAGATGATGCAAACTGCAAATGGCTTCTATTAGAGGTTGCATCAGTGTATTTATTCATAAATAAATAGATTTCCCCCCATTCATTGTTATGATAAACGAGCATGTGGGCCATTAATAATATAGTACTTATTCATATTTTGAATTCGCTTTCATTTGCACTTGAACACACCTAAACAACCTCGTCTCTGGATTGTGACTGTGATTCAGCAACACACATCAGTGTAAGTCTGTTTCCAGCTCTGGTTGCGTCTCTCGTTGCAGGCGGATGCTTCTGGAACCCGTCCCGCAGGAGTTTTACGTGTGTTTCCATGACTCTGTGGCAGAAGCTCCTGTGGAAATGGCCTTCCGGCTGTCGTTCGGCTTGGCCGTGTAGCGTCAGCGGCACACCATCATAAAGCACGAGGAGATTATTGTGAGGTATGTGTGTGAACGAGGACTGAAAATGCTGGAGACAGAACTATCCCTGTGATGATAATCATGTGTTGGTGTGGACTGTTAAATACAAGCAACGTCTCTAGCGATGAACGATGAAATGCATCCGAAAGGGTTAAAAAGCACAACTTTAATACCTCAAATACTGGATTTCACAAGCTACAGGCTCACGAACACTAGAAACGCCATTTTTCACTTGACTTTTCAAGTGTTTATGACCACAGCCTTACCTGAACTTTTGATATGAAATGTTTTAGTATTTTTTATTTAAGGTGTGAAACTTCATAAGTTAAAACTTTGTAATACGTTGTTCATCCAACAAATGTGCATCATTTATCAAATAAATGAAAGCAGATTTAACTTCAGGTGTTCTTTATTTCACTGGAGTTTTTTTTACAAAAATAAACCATAATGTTTCAACAATAGGTTCACATGTTACACAGCGAGTTTCATGCAGAACGAATGTGTTATTAACAACAATTTCCACAATGTTTTCACAGAAGGATTTACATTAAATCATGTTTGCTTGCTGTTATGTGGTTGAGCTCAATTCAAAGTAGTTTTATCAATTATTTTCACAGAAATTCATTCTAATGATTTATGAGTTAAAGCTGCAGTCTGTAGTTTTTCCTCTTTGTCGCCACCTCTGTTCGAAAGCTGCAATTGCAGACATTCGCTGAATTATAAACTTTACGTGAGTTCACACTGCGGATGAACAATGTTTGAGGAGAGTGTGTGTGTCAGTCGCCGCTGGTGTGGAGACTGGCATTCGATCACAGATTATTCTTTTGGATGTATGACCAACATAATAGTTTTCACTGGAAAATGTCTCTCAGAGAATCACATTCAAATCTGCCTCCATTTTGTTTTAGCCACGCCCAACCTCCAACGATCCGATCAATTTCCGTCAATCAATTTTTTTTCGAATTTCAGAAGCCGTTTCACTCGGATATACGTCACAACAAGGAAAAAAACGACAATCTTTACTTCCGTTTCTCGTCGACTTTAAAGATATTATCCTTGTTTTCGCATGGGCCGGTTTCAGTCTCTTTTTCCAAACTCTCAGTCCAAAGTGTTTTGCATTTTACAGCGGGCGAGTCTCTAGTTGTCACTGGTGATTGTCGTTCGAACCTTTCTGGATCCTCCATCAAATTAATAAGTTTAATTATATCAAGTGCTGTGAGAAAAGGTTATATGTGAGTTTGTAATGACGCAAAGACATGCTCTAATCTCCCGCCGAAATCTCCCAGTCCCACTGGAGTTAAAAATATTATTATGAGCGTACCGCTTTGAATCGAGCTATGGCAAGCAGAGAGTTTTGAACTCTGGCTGGTTATGTATTTGCTCAATTTTTTTTTGGTAATTTTTTAACCCAAAAAAGTTACGGACTGCAGCTTTAAGTATTCTGAGTTAGTCTTGAATTAAATAAAAGAAGAAACTTGGGTATCACTTTTAAATTTGCCTTTACTTTTTAATTTCTACATTTGCCGATACATTTTAAACAGTTTAAGTTAGAGTATTATGAAAGAACCAATAACAATAGAATATTTAATACATTATTAATTGCAGTAAAAAGTTGTTCAATGTAACTAACGTTAACAAACTGACTGTAAAGTGTTACCGTTTTACGAATCACGCTTATGTGGGATTAAATGCACAAACAAAAGTACAGAAGGATTTACATTAACACATTTTTTCTTGCTGTTATATGGTTGAGCTCAACTCAAACTAGCTTTTAGAGCCAGACCGGTATATCGGCAGTTCGATGTTATCGGCCGATATTAGGCATTTTCCAAACTAACGGTATCGGCAGTTATAATGGCCGATAAATTAATATTTCAAAAATAAAATAAAAAATGGAGGAAACACGCTTGAACCATGTTATGAGTGTTGGAGTTGTATAGTTTGTCCACCAGAGGGCACTCTACACCGTCCCTTTAGGCAACACTCGTTGAGTTGGTCCCGAGACATACATTGCTTGAATAACAATTAAAAGACCATCCGCATCAGTTCTCTTAACTCAAACAAAATTTGTGACTATCGTGTCCAGTTTTGCTGCTGTTAAATAAGCCGAGAGTGAAGCGGAATTAGCTAGTAATAGTTACGTTATGTTGTTACAGTGTAGACCTTTTAACTTTAGACAATGTGACTGAAGTATTTCTTTAATAGCACGTGACAGTTAGAACAATGAGACGCATCATCTCTTCTTGGCCTGTTATATTGAAAATGTATGTTTTACAATTTGTTGCGCGTTTCTGATGTAATAATTAAAAAAAAAAATATATATCGGCCGATATATCGGAATATCGGATTTTAAAACCAATAAATATTTGTATCGGTATCGGACTTCAAAATCCTTTATCGGTCGGGCTCTAGTGGCTTTATCAACTTTTTACATAATTTCATTCTCATGATTTATGAATTTCTCTTAAAATCGTTTGTAATTATTAAAGTAAATGAAAATAAAAGTAAAAAACAGAAGAAATTTGGGTAACACTTTAAATTTGCATTCGAAATTTACAAAGAAAATGTTCATTTCTATATATGCCAATACATTTTAAGCATCTATTATGAATAACAAAAAACAAAAGAATATTTATAAATTAACAATTGCAGTAAAAAGTTGTTGACCGTAAAATGTTACCGTTTCTTGAATTTGGGTTTGAATGCACAACATAAAAACAAGTTCAGCATGATTTTATTCAAACAATAGTTCAGCATGATTGTACGGACCTGGCGAGTGCTGGTTTAAGCGACGCCCTGCAGCAGAACGAGGTTTTTCCTGTAGCACTCCAGGCTGCACAAGGCCGTCCCGGTCTGCGAACAGGAGTATCTCCTCAGGTTGGAGCATCCCGACACCCCGCAGCTCGCCGGGACAGGAGGCGGCGCTGGCGGCGCCGAAGGAGTCGGGACGGGGATCCCGGCGGGATAGGAGACGCCGGCGCCCTGAGCGTTACTGGTGTACCTCACCATGGGCACCTGGGCCTGCTTGGACTTGCGCTCCCTCATGCTCTTGATCTTGGCCTTGCTGGTCTTGGTCAGTCTCTCGATGGTCTGGTTCTTGTTCTCCTCCGCTTTCTTGGCCGCCTGAAGACGTCTTTTGCGAGCGCGTTCCTCACGTTTCTGCATCATCTCGGCCGTCAGCTCCTTCTCTTTGTATCCCATGGGGAGCTCCAGCAACGGCTGGATCTGCTGCTTGTGTAAGAGGGCTTTCTGTTCAGACGGAGGAGAAACTCGGTCAAGCTAAAGGTCACTCAAATACTGAGTAAAGTTACCAGTAAAGTTCATTCAACAACTATTCATTTACAACTTGTAATCAAATCATTTTTATATAAGACTAATACGATTAATAAGTTTACGGTTGGTAGGTACAAATATATATATATTTTAAAGAAAAAGTCTCTTCTGCTCATGCTTTATGATGATAGATGAACGTTTATCATGGATAGATGCACTTATCATGAATGGATGCACTTTAATCATGAATGGATGCACTTTAATCATGAATGGATGCACTTTTATCATGGATAGATGCACTTTTATCATGGATGGATGCACTTTTATCATGAATGGATGCACTTTAATCATGAATGGATGCACTTTAATCATGGATGGATGCACTTTAATCATGAATGGATGCACTCATAATGGATGGATGCACTTTTATCATGGATATATGCACTTTTATCATGAATGGATGCACTTTTATCATGGATGGATGCACTTTTATCATGGATGGATGCACTTTTATCATGGATAGATGCACTTTTATAATGGATAGATGCACTTTTATCATGGATAGATGCACTTTTATCATGGATGGATGCACTTTTATCATGGATAGATGCACTTTCATCATGGATAGATGCACTTTTATCATGAATGTATGCACTTTTATCATGAATGGATGCACTTTTATCATGAATGGATGCACTTTTATGCACTAGAAGATAACTCAGGTTGTATTCGTCTGAAAGAAGACAGTCATAATACACATAGGATGACTTGAGGGCAAGTACATCATAGGCTAATTTTTAATGTTGGGTGAACAATCCCTTTAATGTATCCTTGCTGAATAAAAATATTGTTCTTTCAACTATCTACTTGGATTGTGTGTGTTTGTTTTGTTTACAGGGTTCCTGTAAGGAAAAAGTAAGGAATTTTTATTTTAGTATTTCCAGGATCAGTATGAAAAAATTGTTTCCATACTATTGCCCCTATTTTGGCGGATTTGCACTGCGTGATTATTTACAGATATACTGAAAATATATGAAATAAATACTGTATTTGAGAGGAACACTTATGTATGTTTATCAGATGGTCTGAAATCTTGAACTAGAAAATGTGTAGGAACCCTGTACTGAGGTTGTGTAATAGTTGATTCCCTGTCCCGCTGGCCAGATGTGTGTTTAAATTTCTACAGCACCTGTCTGGCCGTGAGCAGAGACTCATCGATCTCTTTCTTCAGCTCTCCGTTATCATCCAGCTCTCCTTTCTCCAGCGCGTCCAGCCATCGCTCCTCCTCGTCCATCGGCCGTCCCAGCAGCGAGTCCGTGTCCATGTCGGGCAGGGGACACGGGTCCAGGTTACTGTCCTCATCTGGGTATTACACACACACACATTAAAGGAGTAGTTTACTTTAAAATTAAAATTACCCCTTGATTTAATCACCCTCAAACCATCCAAGCTGTATATGACTTTCTTATTTCAGACAAACTCAATCAGTTATATTAATGAACACCCTGACACTTCTGAGATTGATAATGGCAGTGGATTGCAACCTTCAGATTGAACCATTATAAACGGACTCCACACGACTCCTGTGGGTTACTAAAGGCCTTCCGAAGCAAAGCCATGAATTTGTGTAAGAAAAAATGTTCATATTTAACACGTTACAAAGTAAAATTCTAGTTTCTGGCCAAACACAGTCTACTTACATCTAAAGTGCACTTTACACAACTTGTGACGTCGGAAGTAGCGTAAATATCAGCAGTCGCATTACTCGCATAAGCTTACACATCTGTATGCTCGTTTGGCCGGAAGCTAGTTATTTTACTTTATTGAGTTTTAAATATGAATATTTTTGTCTTAAACGACCTCTTCGTTTTGCTTCAGAAGACGTGGAAGCGTCAGGGGGTTTGATAATATAACTCAGAAGGTCATATATGCCTAGTATGGCTTGAAGGCGAGGAAATCGAGGGGTAATATTCATTTTAAAGCGAACTACTCTTTTAACACTCCTTCGTTTTCCCTATATTCGGCTCTGGGTTTTGCATATTCAGATGTGCCGCTCACCCAGCCAGGCTCTGTACTGCTCGATAGGAACTCCCTCTGACGGCACTTCATCATCAGAGTCGTCATCTTCGTCATCATCATCGTCGTCGCCATCATCATCAGTCTCGACGTTCAGAGACGGCACCGAGCGCAGAGAGTCCGGGATCACGGTAAACGTGGGCACACTGCAGAAAGACAAAACTCACTTACTACAGAGAGAGAGAGACGACATCACACTTTATGAATCACATCATACAGGGTTTGAACCTGAAAACTTTCGGTTACCAGACAAATCTGTAGTCTACAACCATGCTTTACAAATATTTTGTTTTTGTGAAACACAATTTGTGTGTCATATTTTGGGGTAAACTGTTCAAAATCCAGCTTTTAATGTTGTTCATGTGGTGTTTTTAATATGCTTCAAGACAAATCATGTGTAAATTCATTAGTTGGCAGCATTGCTGTGTATTTCCTTTTTAAAACTGCAGTGAACCAAAGACGGTCTCGAAAACACGGTTTGAAATCGCTGGTGTTTCTGACGTCGCACACGACCTTGTGACCAATCAGATTAATGTGTGATCGTCAACCAGTGGATCTTTGAGCTGAGTGAGTGGAGGCGGGGCTCATTTGCATATTCATAGAACCACGTATACTAATGAGGCAAGAGTGTTGGGTTACATTCAAGCTATTTCAAGGCATGAATAAAAAAAACTCAAAAAATTATGACTATATTAACATCTATAAGAGATTTGCTCTGTTATCACTCCATGATTCCAGAAAGACAATGACTCTCGTGAGTTGTACTGTAAATATATTGATATTATAATTATGTTAAGCTCATGTTTTGAAGTCTTAGCCTCTTATTGCTGACCAAAGGCAAACATCTGTTTGGCTGAGTTGTAACATTCATATGTGCATGAGGAAAATGGCGATAAAAACATTTTCCATGCACATGTTTCTCTTTGAAAATGAAGGTGAAGTTTTCAAGACAAGAATGCTGAACAAAGTAAATTAAAAACATCTTCAATCTGTTGCGCACTAGCGCAGTAAGTCTATAAGAAATATCTATGTATTTAATGTTATGATTTCAAAAAGCAAAGGTTGTGCACTTTGCATGCTTTCTGTTGCACATTTAATCACTCCTATTTGAGAATATGTGCAACAGTTTATTTTTTTAAACATTCTGCAACAAAATTATCTGATTAAAAAAAATGCATGCGATGCGCATATTATGTACAATAATGTTCTAACATAACACAAAAAAAAGAAAAGGTCTCCATACTCTTTTTTTATTCTTCTTGAAAATCTTATCTTTTCCAGTTTAAGTAATTGTAATTTTGTTGTCTAAAGAAACGCAAAATGAGTTAATATATATAGTTTATGTTGTATCTTATTTTATACTCTTATTTTAACACGATTTTTCTAAAAATAAAGAAATAATGTATGGATAATCATGTAAGCCGAAGTTGCTTAATTTCAGTAAATGTTCACCTTGAAATGTTATTCTTATGTTTACTATATAAAAAAAACAATGAAAGATGTATATGTATATAAAAATTAGACAATTATAACAACAGGTCAGAAGGCATGTATTAGATTGCGTGCTTCAGCAAGAGCAGTTTTGATAAAATATGAAAAACGTGCAACGTTTTAAAAGCAATTTTGATAGAACGTGTCATAATTTGGAATCAATACAAAAAGCTTGTGTTTATTAGTCTCAGTCTCTAAATCATTGTGTGCAAACCACTGACCTCTTGGTGCCTAGAGTTTGACCCCCAAGCTTGATCTTGAGTTTGAGTTGAGGAGGTTTGAGCACCAGCATCCCGGAGTCCGACTCCAGAGCTTCAGAGGAGAAACTGTGTCCATCGTCCCGGTGGTGCTTCTTCTTGTGTTTCTTGTGCTTTTTGTGTTTCTTCTTGTGGAGGTTATAATCATCCCCGTTTCCTGAAGAACAAACACCAACCGAACACATAGTTCAGATGATATAGTCAATTAGAAACGCAGGAATGAATGAATATACATTCAATGTCCTACTTTACCTGTAAGCGTGTTGAAGGAATAACGTTAGCTCACCCAAAAATTCAAATTATCCCATCATTTACTCCCTTCCTAGGGGTATGACTAAATTGTGGGATAATTGTCGTTTTTTTGAGTCAACAATTCCTTTAATTAATGTGCTTTTAATACCGTGGGTTAAGAAACACTCGATTATAATTCTCTACTAAACTAAAGCATTAAATGAGACTTACCAGCGAGAAATCTGGGGTGAATCATGTCTTTTCTTTTCCCCATGGACACGTAAAGTGAGTTTGACCTTAATTAATCACCACAATAATCATACTGAACACATTTATGGGTCTATTTATCCATCAGATTAACGCAAATTTACTAATTCATGCGCAAACTCTCTTAGCATTCTAGCATTGTGTTTACAAATGAAATGTGCTTCCTACAGCCAAAGCATTGTGGGTAATGTAGTTTGCTCGCTCACCGCTCGCTACTTAGGTTGTTTCTACATTTCGTCACAAATGTTGCAGGAGAGTGTGAATTTTTATTTATTTATTTATTTATTGAGTGAACGCAGCATAATTCTCATATTTTAAAATCTTGTGTGTTTTCAGTTTAATGAGGAGCCGGTGATGTCATTTGTTACCTGTTACTTTTCTCAGCGCTGCTTAGACAGGGCCAATCACAGTCGTTTGGGATTCACCAGGTGTTTCTGTTTCCCAAATGTTTGTGCCTGTCCAAAATAACCTATCTTGTGGCCTTAATTTTAACACTTTGGCCAAACTCCGGAAAGAAATACATAATGTAGTAAAGCAGACAAAAGGTCAAGTGCAGCTTTGGACAGGCGCTTTTGGGATAGTCCAACCAAAAATGAAAAATATATATATATTTTAATATATTTTTTCTGTCATCATTGGTTCAGCCCCAAGTTGTTTCAAACCTGTATGGGTTTCTTAAAGGAAGATATTATGAAGAAAGATTGTAACCAAACAGTTAGGGAAAAATACATTCTTCAAAATGTCTTCCTTTGTGTTTAGCAGAACAAATTAATTCATACAGGTTTGGAATAACGTGTGGGGTGAGCAATTGCTGACAGAATTTCCATTTTTGAGCGAACTATCCCTTTAACACATTTCACAAAGAAAACTACACGGTCCAGAAATCTTTGCGGGAGACGTTCAGCGGCACGGGAAGAAGTTACGGTCAGACCGTGCGTTAAAGGTTAGGCTTGTGGATTGTGTAAAATGTCTGTGGTTTTACAAAGCTTGCAGTTCTGATAATTCGTATTATGTATTTAGTCATACGAGTGGTGATTACCGGTATGTTGATTTGCACGCTTGTTCCACGTGGGTTTGATCGCTGTTGTTGACGTTTGGAGTTGAACTTTCAGCCGTGCATATGTCAGCAAATCATGTTTTTTCTTAATTATATGTTTCTCTGCGAAATTTAAGTTGACATTTTCAAGATATGGAGATTTTAACCCAGGAGTTTATGTAAAATGCACCTTGTTAAACCTGTTGCACAATCAAAAATGGGAGCAGTATGATTCATTACACAAACAAGCATAATTAAGTGTTTCCTTGTATGCTTTTTTTGTTTACACAATAAATCATATTCTTTGTCTATTTTTGAATATGTGAATTATTCATTTAAAAAAAGTATTATATATACACACGCACACATTTCATTGCCTTTGGAATGACCAATTCTGATTAAAACAACAAAGCATCCAAATTTTCACAAAGAGCCTGACAATACATGCATCAACAATATTAGTCACAACAACCACATGGATAGAGGTGACATCGCATTCTCCAAACATGCAGACATGCATCTCCAGTTAAATGTTTGTGGATAATCCCATTAAAAGTCCCATTAGGATTGTTTCCAAATGATGACAAAAACTTGTTTTTGTAAGGAACTATAGTACATATGCACACAATTTAAAACTTTTCTTTGCATCATCAGTTCAGAAGTTCTCCATGTCCTCCATCCCATCAGAAGCATGAATTACGCTCGCTTTCTGACCGCTGTGAGCGCAGCAAGAAAACCATCCGCTATTCGCTTACTGAGTGAGTCTGATTTTTATTATTTTATTACTGTTTATTGAGGTCAACTGCCTGACTGAGATGTGATTTTATGACGAGATGATAACTTAATAGACACTTACATTTCAGTATTGTTATCGATTTGATTGCACTGTAAAGAAACGGTAAACTACTGGCAGCTGTGTTGCCAGCATCATACCGTAAAAATATGTTTTGTTACCGTTTTTATAATAAACAGCTAAATACCGTTTTTTCAGCTACAGCTATATGCTGTTAAATTACAGTTATATACTGTAGCTAAAAAACGGTATTTAACTGTTAATTTCATTTTTACGGTATGATGCAGCTGCCAGTAGTTTACCGTTTTTTTACAGGATTAATTTTTACAGTGTGAACTGAGAGTCAGTTAATGTCTTCTGTAGAATTGAACTCATTTCATAATTGGTTATTGAACTGAACTATGTCAATACTGAACTGATTTGAGCTGAATAGTGTCACTGTTGTCTTCTTAGAGCTCAGAGCTCAAATGAAGTTCACATCATTGATCGTTATTGGGTACAAAGCTGCTTTGAACCGATCTGTAGTTCATAAAGAGCTGTATAAATGAAGATGATTTGGTGTCGTTGTGACCCAGCTGAGCTGCAGCAGCGATCTCCTCCATCCCTGATCTCTCTGGCCGGAGGAGCTCCCAATCCCAACACCTTCCCGTTCCAGTCGGCCACGGTGACGGTGAAGGGGGGAGATGCTGTGGTGTTGGACGAGGCGCTGATGAAGAGAGCGCTGCAGTACTCCGGCTCATACGGGTATCAGACACCACACTGCTGCTCACCGCCGGGGTTGTGCCTAATTTCGACTCCCAGCCAAATTATTACCGCCATCTTTGAAGTCAGTACCTGATTGCCTAACCCCTCCCCTATTCCTAACCCCGCCCATAACCCCTCCCCTAATCCTAACCTCGCCCCTAATCCTAATCTCGCCCCTAATCCTAACTCCTCCCCTGTTCCTAACCCTGTCCATAACCCCGCCTCCAATTCCAACCCCACCCCCTAATCCTAACATTGCCCCCTAATCCTAACTCCTCCCTATTCCTAACCGCGTCCATAACCCGGCCTCCAATCCTAACCCCTCCCCTAATCCTAACATCGCCCTAATCCTAACCCCTCCCCTAATCTTAACCTCGCCCCTAATCCTAACTCCTCCCCTATTCCTAATCCCGTCCATAACCCCGCCTCCAAATTCCAACCCCTCCCCTAATCCTAACATCGCCCCCTAATCCTAACTCCTCCCCTATTCCTAACCCCGTCCATAACCCGGCCCCAATCCTAACCCCTCCCCTAATCCTAACATCGCCCTAATCCTAACCCCTCCCTATTCCTAACCCCACCCATAACCCCCTCCCCTAATCTTAACCTCGCCCGTAATCCTAACTCCTATTCCGAATCCTACCCTATTTCCTAATCCCGTCCATAACCCCGCCTCCAATTCCAACCCCTCCCCTAATCTAACATCGCCCCCTAATCCTAACTCCTCCCCTAATCCTAACATCGCCCCCTAACCTAACTCCTCCTTATTCCTAACCCCGTCCATAACCCCGTCTCCAATCCTAACCCCACCCCTATTCTAACCCCTCCCTTATTCCTAACCCCATCCATAACCCTGCCTCAATTCCACCCCACCCCTAATCCTAACCCCTCCCTAATCCTAACATCGCCCTAATCCTAACCCCTCCCCTATTCCTAACCCCACCCATAACCCTGCCTCCAATTCCAACCCCACCCCTAATCATAACCACTCCCCTAATCATAACCACTCCCCTAATTATAACCCCGCCCCTAATCATAACCCCTCCCCCAGAACTAATCCTAAACCTACCAATGCTATTGGTATTGGGAAACACTTATGTAATGTTTAATGCAATTCATGTTTTTGATAACAAAGGGTGGAATATATTTACATATTTTGTATTTTTAGAACAGTATGGTACAAAATAAATATTTTAATTAGGGCTGTTAATGCATGTGATTAATTAGAAATCCCTAACACGTTAAAATAATTGATCATAAATTGGCACGTGAAACTTTTAATGATATGCTAACTACGTTTCTTAGCAGGAAAAATCAAACCAGGGTCTGGAATGGGTGCGATTAGTCGTGATTGATTATTGACAGCCCTAATTTAAATCCATGTATAAACGAGTTAGGTCCAAAATAATCTAAAAGTAGTCAAAATACATTACATAAAATGTGTAATCTAACGTCTAACGATTACGTCATGTACTTTGTAATCAGTAATGAATTACAGTTTGTATTTCTTCATTTGTGTGTGTGTGTGTGCTGGTAGGATTCCAGAGCTGGTCTCGTGGATGAAGGATCTTCAGAAAAGCCTCCACAATCCTCCCACAGCCGGCTACAGTCCACAGAGAGGACAGATGGAGATGTGTGTCACCACCGGCAGTCAGGAGGGGCTCTGCAAAGTACGCCCACCTCATACACACTCGCACCATCCTGCAGGAGAATATCTGGACCTAATTAGCCAGTTAAACTAAACTAAAACCATTAAAACAACTTTTCTATTGCTTGAAATAAATAAATGCCACATATTTACATACACTCACCTAAAGTATTATTAGGATTATGAGTCTCGATTTCTGTTGAGACGTTCAGATGGCAGAGTCAGAATTTGGCATAAACAGAATGAGAACATGGATCCGTCATGCCTTGTTACCACTGTGCAGACTGGTGGTGGTGTAATGGTGTGGGGGATGTGTTCGTGGCACACTTTAGGCCCCTTAGTGCCAATTGGGCATCGTTTAAACGCCACGGCCTACCTGAGCATTGTTTCTGACCATGTCCATCCCTTTATGGCCACCATGTCCCCATCCTCTGATGGCTACTTCCAGCAGGATAAGGCACCATGTCACAAAGCTCGAATCATTTCAAATAGGTTTCTTGAACATGACAATGAGTTGACTGTACTAAAATGGCCCCCACAGTCACCAGATCTCAATCCAATAGAGCATCTTTGGGATGTGGTGGAACGGGAGCTTCGTGCCCTGGATGTGCATCACACAAATCTTCATCAACTGCAAGATCCTATCCTAACAATATAATCAATCAATCAATCAATCAATCAATCAATCAATCAATATATGAATCAATGCCACGTAGAATTAAGGCAGTTCTGAAGGCGAAAGGGGGTCAAACAGTATTAGTATGGTGTTCCTAATAATCCTTTTGTCACAGTCTTCGTCTGCACCATCCTGTCTGCGTCTCCAGCACTACACTTCCCAGGATCCTCTTGTCTCCACACCTGAACTCACTCCCTCATCAGCCTCCCGTTCAGCGTCCTGTATTCATCTATTTCACCTGTTTTCACCTCGTTTAGTTTGATTCCTGTGTGTATTTAGTTCCTTCCCATTCAGTCTGTCCTTGTCGGTCGATGTTTAATGTTACGTGGTGTTACCCAGTCTTCCTGCCTGTATCTGAACTTTATAATTAGTAAACCTTTTGTATTGAAGCCTTTTTGACTCAGCCTGTCTTTCTGCCTGCACCTGCACCGTGACAGATCGACCGACCGCCAAATAATGGATTTTGCAGCAGTGCAACTTCTCCTCCTGGAGCAGGAGGATCAATCCCTCGAGGCCCACACACAGAGGTATTTGGACTTGATACCTCACGTTCACTATGATGATACCAGCCTCTGTGTGTTCTTCCGGGCAGGCCTAAACGCTGAAACCAGCAGACGCCTGCCCGGAGAGGGCCTCGAGGGAACTTCGCGGCCTATGTGGAGTGGTGCTGGTGTCATGTGGATCTTCTTTCACCGTGGACGACGGCACCAGCCCCACTCCAACGCCAGGGACCGTCCAGCCCGAGACCGTCCAGCCAGAGCCCGAGACCGTCCAGCAGAGCCCGAGACCGTCCGGCCAGAGCCCGAGACCGTCCGGCCAGAGCCAGAGCCCGAGACCGTCCAGCAGAGCCAGAGCCTGAGACCGTCCAGCCAGAGCCAGAGCCCGAGACCGTCCAGCCAGAGCCCGAGACCGTCCAGCCAGAGCCCGAGACCGTCCAGCCAGAGCCAGAGCCCGAGGACCGTCCAGCCAGAGCCAGAGCCCGAGACCGTCCAGCCAGAGCCAGAGCCGAGACCGTCCAGCCAGAGCCCGAGACCGTCCAGCCAGAGCCAGAGCCCGAGACCGTCCAGCCAGAGCCAGAGCCCGAGACCGTCCAGCCAGAGCCAGAGCCCGAGACCAGGATCCCACCCAGCCTCCTCTCCCACCTCCTCCCGTCATGCATCCGTCAGCCCTCCGTCTGCCAGCTCCCCTGACCCAGCTGGGTCGTTGGATCCCCGGCCTTCGCTTCACACCTCCTCTATCTGGACACTTCCTCGGCCCCCGGTCCCATCGGATCCCCCGTGGCTGCTACCTCCCTCAGCTCCTCCATGGTCCCACAGTCCACCAGCTCGGCCAGGCTCCCTCGTCCCTCCGAACTCCCTGCACTCCCTCGTCATCCTCCCTTCACCTTTGGACTTCCTTCCCTTGGCTCCGCCCCGTCATGTCACCCCCCCGGTTCAGTTGGACTCCTCACTCCCTCCAGTCACCCGTCAGCCCTCACGCACTCTGACCTCACCGTGTCCCTCTGTGCCCCTGTCAGCACTTCGGTCACCAGAGCCTGCGGTGTCCCCTTGCTCCCTCGGTCCCTCCTCAGCACCCATCATCGTCGGTCCCTCAGCTACACCCTGGTCTCCTCTCCCATCCGCTCCGCCCCTGTCAGTCGGCCCCCTGGTGTTGCCAGCCCCACTACCATCGGCTCCACCAGGGGTCCTCCCTCCAGCTGCTCCGCCCTGGTCTCGCCCTCATCATGCTCCGCCCTGGTCTCGCCCTCAGCCTGCTCCGCCCTGGTCTCACCCTCAGCCTGCTCCGCCCTGGCCACGCCCTCAGCCTGCTCCGCCCTGGCCACGCCCCGCCCAGCCCCCAGTTCGTCCCCCCTCCTTCCTCTGTTATGCGGCGTGAGGTCACGCCTCCCGGGAGGGGGGAGTTCTGTCACAGTCTTCGTCTGCACCATCCTGTCTGCGTCTCCAGCACTACACTTCCCAGGATCCTCTTGTCTCCACACCTGAACTCACTCCCTCATCAGCCTCCCGTTCAGCGTCCTGTATTCATCTATTTCACCTGTTTTCACCTCGTTTAGTTTGATTCCTGTGTGTATTTAGTTCCTTCCCATTCAGTCTGTCCTTGTCGGTCGATGTTTAATGTTACGTGGTGTTACCCAGTCTTCCTGCCTGTATCTGAACTTTATAATTAGTAAACCTTTTGTATTGAAGCCTTTTTGACTCAGCCTGTCTTTCTGCCTGCACCTGCACCGTGACACCTTTAGGTGAGTGTAAATATATATATATATATATATATATACAAATTTAAAAGTCTTATTTCAGCTATTTCTCATTTTCTTTTAGTTTAACATGTACTAAAATAACCAAAACTGCAAAAAAGTTAAATAAAACTGCAAAAAAGTTAAATAAAAAATAAATAAATAGGCATTAAAAAACTAATAAAAATGACGAAAACACCCAACAAAATTGCTAAAACTTTAAATAAATTAAAATGAAGAACGGAAAATATATGCTACTTCAAAATATTACTAATGAAAACTATGATGATACTAAAACACCACTGTCCTTAATAAATGCTCTCTTGGCGATACGGCCACTCTGTTCCTGAAGTTTTTAGTGTGCTTAATATTATTAGTGATATGCATATTGGAGTATGTGCAATAATTTAGGATAAAAATTGTGCAAAAGTTTAGCACGTTATAAGCGGTGGGGAAAAAGACACAAAAAAAAGGGAATGCGTCCAATTTAATGCTTCTTCAGTGCCGCATTAGCTCATGTTGTGACTGAGGAGTTTGCTGTTCCTGCGGTTTTTATCTCGCATTTACTTTTTTGTTGTCATTTTTCATCCTCATAATGAGTGGCGAGCCTATTTGGATCATAGACTTAGGATTTTGGTGATTTCTCCTCTTTTTACTACATACTAAAATTCTAGTTTTCCTCTTTGTTCTGTTCGTCAGATATTCGAGATGCTCGTCAATCCTGGAGACAACGTCCTCCTCGATGCTCCGACATACTCAGGAACGCTGGCGGCCGTAAGCACACATTTCCCATCGTCCGTGTTTCATCTCTCTCGATCCGTTACAGGAACATGTGTAGATGTAATCATTGCCAGCTCTTTCCTGAACAGCTGCAGCCGCTGGGCGCCAACATCATGAATGTGCCGAGCGATCAGCATGGCATGATCCCGGACGACCTCCGCAAGATCCTGGCACAGTGGGACCCGACCGATGCTCAGAAGCCGGACTGCACCGTACCGAAGGTCCTGTACACCATCCCCAACGGAGGCAATCCCACCGGAGCGTCCATGACTCATGAGAGGAAACAGGAAGTCTATGAAGTAAGCAGGGTTTACTTTCTCAATGCACATGGTTTTACAGTGTTACATGTCCAGTCAGACGTTCTTTGACCAAACCGGAAGTCGTAGAGACTTGAATCTCTGAGGGCTGGTGGCTAGAGTATCTGGAGTCTGATTGTCTCTAAGTATCAAAATATTTGAAATTTAAGCGCCGCTAAAACGTTCAAAGTGGGAGGAGCCACTTTTGCTTAAATGGCTATAACTTGGCACACATATGTAAGAGCTCATTCCGTTTTCACGTGAAAAAGGATGCGGTTACTGACCACTTGGTGGCGCTATAACATAGAAAAATGGCTATAGCTATGAAACACTAAGTCTGATAGCTGGGTTTCAGTCACGTGATTATGATGACGCGTGTAATTCAGATGGAGGGCAGCGAGTGAAGAGCGCATTGGACGAGATGGAGGAAAGTCCGTACTGTACTACTTTACACGCTATTACAATAGAAATAAATAAACAGAAAATCGAAACATATGTTGGACATGATCCTTACATTATGAATATTTTCCTGCCATCGAGGCTGTAGATATTAGCAACTACCTGCCTTACAGACATACTTAGACTTTACAAAGTTCGGAAACGTTACACAAACAGTCAATTAAATTGTATTAACTCACCTTTGACGAAGTGATCACTAACGTTACACAAGCATTATCCCATTAGGCTCCTCCCGACTGCAGACGTAGGTTTGCAAGCCGTTTTTCCAGAGTTTTTCGAACAATTTCTTATGAATAACAACTTTTGGTACACGATTAAAAACTCTTCGTGGTTTGATCGATTCAAGCAGCCGTAAATGACTCAAAACACAGGCATTTTGAGTTTGTTACACACTCTTAGAAGAAAAGGTTCTATATAGAACCTTAAAAGGTTCTATCAGCGCTACATATTTGGAACCTATAGGTTAGGTTCTATACACTCTTGAAAAAAGGGTTCCTTTGGGTTCTATATAGAACCCTGGGGTTCCATACTTGTCCAATAGAACCTTTTACCAAAAAAATGCCATTTCTGGTTCTAAATAGAACCGTTTCTTCTAAGAGTGTAGTGCTTTCTATACAGCAGATCACTTCCTGCCCTCCATTTGCATTTCGCGCCATGGCAACGCGGTGGCGTGACGTCATATGAAAACAAGCTATTGACTTGAAAATTGGCATGTGGTGTTTTTGTCCAAGGTGTCAAGACTGCCTTTCAGGACATTGGCGTATCTCGTAAAACACGCCGGCGGCGGCCAATGAAGTTTGAGCAGCTTTAGACAAGGTTAACGCAGGCCTCTCGGAACGAAAGTTGTTTTTTAACATGCATAAAGGACATATATATCACATGCGTAAGGATTGTATATCACACGATTTTTTGCGCACACACCTACGACGTCATACCGCATTGGCCTCTAGGACCGTTGCCGTCAATCGAATCCTTCATTAAATATTCGAGAATGTTTAAAAAAAAAAAAACTTTTGCAAACTAGTCCAAGGTTTTTGGACTAACTGTGGCACAATTCTTGGCTAGGTGAATAATTGTCAAATTGTTTAACTTTGGCCTTTGGATAGTGTGACGACCTCTGCTGTTGGTTTTGGGAATTGCAGTTTGGTACCTGAGCCCACTAATTACCTCAAATGGCAGTCAACTGAAAACACCTGTGACTGTGCCTTAGACGCTTCTTAAGAGATCACCACCTGAGCCAATGGAGAGAAAAATTTGGTTTTGGACTTTGCGTTTGGTTTTTGCTTGCATTGTATTTTGTTGCTTCCTTTGAGCCAAGGTTCGTAACAATAGGTATAACAGGGTGATTTAGAAAATGCACTCAAAAAGTCTATAAGTCCTACACAAAAACTCACGAAATTTGGTGAGCAGATCCAACTCATGATTCTAAACAAGCATGCAAAGTTTTATGGAGTTGGGACCATAGGTGGCGCTCTAACTGTTAAAAAGCTTTAAAACCATATTTTCCTCTATAAATTGCCTGTAAATGGTCTTTCTTGGTGGTTACAGGCTTGTTAAAGAAAACAATTCCTAAAACAAGGCAATAAAACGCTTGAACCCCCATAATTGCTGCTCGCAGCTATATTATTTTTTTTTTTTACATCAAACTCTAAAAAATTTGTTTTTGTTTTCATTTGCAGCTTGCCAGGAAATATGATATGCTTATCATTGAGGATGACCCATATTATTTCCTGCAGTTCCAGAAAGTAAGTTGCTCCTCTGATCTGTTGCTCTCTTCACAGCATGATCTGTTTGTACAGTGGTGCGATTAATCAGAAGGAAATTGTCATCATACACTGACCTCTCTGATAGCCTCTGTATTGCGGCTGAGATAAGATAGCAGTGTAATGTCAATACTCTGCTCTGTTCTCTCGTCACCCAGCCGTGGGCACCAACATTTCTCTCCATGGACGTGGACGGACGCGTCCTCCGAACCGATTCGTTCTCCAAGATCCTGTCGTCGGGGTGGGTGCTGTCAAAAGCCGGTTTGTGCTTCAAATGTCAATGACTTGATTCAGTGGACAGTAGTGCTTCTGTCATGAGACACGGCTGTCAGCGTCATGGACTCAAGATAGAAAGGGAAAAAACTCAGCAAAGGCCGATTTTCTAAATGACACAGCTTTAGCTTTTCAAAGAGTAAAGTTTTTTTATTATTATTATTAGCCTAGAGAGACCCAAGAATTGCGCCACAGTAGTTTTTTTGAGGTTGGAACTTGGAACAAAAAAAAAAACAAACTTTTTTAATAATTATTGACAATCAGACTCCAGAGAATCTTGCTGTACTGGTTTGAGTTTATATAAAATATGTTAAAAAAAATGTATTTAAATTATATATATATATATATATATTAGGGCTGTGCAAAAATTAATTGCGATTAATCGCATCCAAAATAAAAGTCTGTGTTTACATAATATATTTGTGTGTGCTGTATATAATTATTTTGTATATATAAATACCTATGCATGCATGTATATATTTAAGAATTATTTGCGCTTAAATTCTGTATATATTTATAAATACATAATCTATATTATATAAATATAAATATTTTATATAAGAATAACACATTTTCTTAAATATATACATGCATGTGTGTGTATTTATATATACAAAATAATTATATACAGCACACACAAATATATTATGTAAACACAGACTTTTATTTTGGATGCGATTAATCGCAATTAACTTTTGCACAACCCTAATATATATATATACATATATATAAATATGTGTATAATATAATATTTCTATATATATATATATATATATAGTTATATATATTATATATAATTTTATATTTATATATTATATATATAATATAATTATATATATATATATATATAATTACATAGCATTTAATTTAATCATTTTAAAATGAACCCTCGATAATTTAAAGGGACTCTGTGTAGGAAATACCCCCATCTAGTGGTTAAATAGTATTTTGCATTCAAACGAATGTTGCTCTCCAGCGCCTCGCTTTTTCAAGTGCGTATTGCATCTACGGTTGCCGTTATGTACCAAAAATGCTATGACAGGATGTCTTGTAACACTTCATCGAGTTTTTCTCCGGGTGAACAGGTTTGTAATTTAAAAAAAAACAGCAACTTATGTGTTAACTTATGTGTACAATTTATGTGTCTAGCTGTATAAATTCATTTTAATTCTCTGTACAATCTTATCCACATAGCAAAATCACAATTTTAGCTAATTGATCATTTATATATAAAAAGAAAGCTATAGAAAATCTTACAGAGAGCAATATTTTCTTCAATATTTTCTTACAATCATTATCTCTATATTCTTACTGAATTTATAGGTTATAAAGAATTAACTTACAAACCTTGTTTTTAGCACCTTCCTTCACAATAGCTGCGAGTAAAGTAGTCAATAGCTGCTATTCATCAAAGACCTTGTTTAACTTTTTTACCTATAAATGTTATACTGTCTATATAATAAAGTACACAACCAAGCAATGACAAAAAAATTAAGTCAGACTGTAACATTGACTAACCTGTCGAGGAGAAAGCAGGCAACTTCAGCGTCTCTTCTGAAATCTTTCTGCTGCATTAGCTATTTCCACGGTTGAAAACGCTATCCCGATATTTAAGGCCATTGCACACTGAGCACGAAATATTCGTATGCGTATTTTCCTGTACGTCAGCCTAAAAATTCGTCACGCATAGAAACCTTGCACACCGAGTCCGTTGCGTATTTATTAAACTTTGCGGGGAAAAAACGCAAAAATACCAAATGGATTCGTCAAGCAGTGAGGATGATTTTTGCCCTCTCTCATATTGAAAAGAGAAGAAATAGAAAATATCCATCCAATCCTGAAATTGCGCCGAGAGGAAGGAGTTCATTATCAAGAAGTTGCGAATTTATCCTGAGCGATTCAAAATTTACCTCAGAATGTCAGCGGGACAGTTTGATGCTTTGCTAGCGATTCTGGAGCCACATATTAAAAACAAGACCACCAATTTCCGTGAACCAATCGATTCTGAACGGAGACTGGCAGTGTGTCTGGTATGGACCAGGTATGGACACACACGTCACAAACACACACACACCCGCGCGCGGCCCTGTGGAAGCGCTGGGCAGACAGAACAGCTAGGCTGTTATTGTGTATTGTGTATATTGTGCCCAAATAATACATTAGTTATCGAATAGGCTGCTCAATCACACTTTATTCGATCCTAAATTTCAATCTGATTTAAAGGGGAGGTTTATTAATTTCATAATCCAATATAGAGAAGAGAACATAAACACTTGATCGAATTGAAAACCGAAACTGAAAGCACGGCGCATAATGTGCAATGATTTGAGGACGAGCTCCCCCGGCCCTGAATTGTCAAAAGACCTCTCAAAATGCTGGCTCTGGATGCGAAAAACGCAGAAAATCGAACCATATCCGATTAATTTTATGACGGAAAAATGAATGGTCTTGTTTTTTGCAATCTCCGGTCACGTTTCCTTTTTCGTTCAAGTCTGGCCTTTTTTTGCGAGGAGGATGCATTCTCCTGTGACTCGGCATATGGTCCGCAATTACAAATAATAGAGCAAAAGAGCAATCAGCAATCATAGGAGTGCAATGCAGCCGTTTAAACTTGCAGGGAATGCGCCTCTCAATGTGACGTGACGATGGCTCTGAGTCTGAACGAAAACGCGTTGTGGAAACGCGTTTGGCTTGTGGTACTTTTTGACCCTCTCTGCTATTATAGTTTTCAAGATGGCGGAACGGACATGGAAGCCTCCGTGAACCTACCCGTCCCATGTACATAAAGATAATAAATTCTTCATTTACGAGGATAAGTCAGATAATTTGCAGAGGTATTTGTACACCATTGAGGACATATTTATGAATAAAAATATTGATTTCAGATAATAAAATACCTAAAAATCTACACAGAGTCCCTTTAATATAAATAATTAATTTACATATAATTGAATATCTAAATATTCACACACACAAATATATATAATTTAGTTATTTATCATATGAATATTAATTATTTGTAGATACTCTATATATATATACATGCATATTTTATGATATGTTCAATATTTAACATTATTCATTATTTAATTTATTATAGTTCATTATTTAATTTATTAAAATGTATAATATGTATATATTTAATTATATTAAATATATTAATACATCATTTATGAATTATTTATTCATATATAAATATAATTGCATAGCATTTAATTCATTATTTTTTATGAACCATCAATTATTTAAAATAAATAATTAATATACATATAGTTTAATAACAAAGTGTTCATATATTTGCATATTTTGTAATTGTATATTTTCACTAGTAATTGACATTATTTGCATTCATTGAATTGAATCGTTTTTATATTCTACCATGAAATAAAACCACATACTTCCTGTATCAGATCGTAACTGATGTGTTTTGCGTGGGGAATGTTGTGTGTGTTTGGGGTCAGGTTGCGGATCGGGTTCGTGACGGGGCCGAAGCCGTTGGTGGATCGGGTGGTTCTGCACATCCAGGCCTCGACCATGCACACCAGCACCTTCACACAGGTCACACACACACACACACACACACACACACACACACATCTTCCTGGCATTCCTGCTTCTGTCTCACACACTCATCCCTGAAGATCAGGCTTTAGGAGAGGGTTGTTCCTCACTCCTCACGATCTGTCTTCCGTGTGTTCAACACACTCAGTAAAACACAAACGTCTCTGAGAGTGTGTGAAACGTGTGTGTCATGTGCGCGTGTTTCAGATCCCAGCGGTGTGCAGATCCGTGAATCTGAACTTTAGTTATTCTCACAGCGCGAGTCTCAGGAGAAGAGATGCTTGGAAAAACAAGAGCTTTAACTCTGATGATCAACACTCATTAAATAATGCAGAAAATATTGTTATTGTTGCTGTGGTGTAATGGTTTGCAAAATAAAGATTAGCAAAGTCATTTAAAAAAAGTTTAAAAATATTAAATTATATTTATTTTAATAGTTGTATAAAATAGTTTTTGGTTGCTGTGGTGGAGTTATTTGCAAAATACTCTACAATTAATATCAACAAAGTCAATAAATATTGTGTAATAAATTAAAATATATTAGCTAATATTTATTTGAATAATAATATTTATTGTAGGCAATTAGTATTGCATAAAATAAATATTTTTTTGTCGCTGTGATGTCATGATTTGCAAAATACAGCAAATTCAAAAAATAATGTTTAATAAATATTGAAATATATTAGCTAATAATTATTTGTATAATAATTTATATTTATTTAATGCAATTAATAATGTATAAAATATTTTTTTTGTCACTGTGGTGTAATGATTTGTTAAATACTCTTTAATTAAGATCAGCAAAGTCATTAAATAGTGTTCATTAAATATTGAAAGAAATAAAATAAATATAGTTTATAAATATAAATATAGTAAAATAAATATAGTTTTCTCTCGTCTCTCTGGTGTATTAATTTGCAAAATACATAAATGCTATCAGCAAAGTCATTAAATGTTTAATAAATATGAAAGAAGATTGATTTTAATGATAATTAAAACTTCTGTTAAATGTATAAAATGCATAAATCTGTTTTTTAAGGACGTCACAGAATCTTCTGATATCTCGTTCTCCAGTGTAAAGCTATCCAAACTTCTCCTCTGTGTGTGTGTGTGTGTGTGTGTGTTCAGATGATCGTGTCGCAGCTGCTCCAGAACTGGGGTCAGGCTGGTTTCCTCACACACATCGATGGGTGAGTTTGTGAGAGTCCAGTTCCTGTATTTCTGTGTTCTTGTGTCTGTTGAGTGTAACTGTGTTGTGTGTGACACGAGTTGTTGTGTGTGACGCGAGTTGTTCCTCTTCCTCAGGGTGATCGAGTTCTACAGATCTCAGAGGAACGCCATGCTCTCCTCAGCCGACCGCTGGCTCAGAGGTGTGTAGAGGTCCCGTTTACAGCAGTGCTGTGTGTGTGTGTGTGCTCATACAGTTTAACAGTGTGTTTTTATTCTTCTTAATGTGCTTAGATTCATTATTGTGTTCAGAAAAATGATCTAAATTGTCATTTTTAGTGCTGATATATATAACTGTTACAGGTCTATTACACTAATGTAATTCAGCGGTGTGTGTGTGGCTTTTGTGTGTCTCACACTCTCACGTGTGTGTGTGTTGTAGATGTAGCCGAGTGGCATCCTCCGATGGCTGGGATGTTCCTGTGGATTAAAATCAAGGGCATTAAAGACACACAGCGGCTGATCATGGAGAGAGCGTTAGAGAAAGAGGTACACACACACACACACACACGTACAGTGCTGTGCTGAATGTAATAACATGATTTCATGTTCTACTCTGCCGGATTCCTTCTTAAATTGTAAACACTTCCTGTTAGTGCAAGTCATTCGTGTGTGTAAATGTGGGGGTGTGTGTGTGTCACTGTCGCCTTTATAGCAAGTTTACTGAGGCTTTTTGCCAAAGCCAAAGTTTGAATGTGTGTGTGTGTGTGTGTGTGTGTAAATAAACTGAAGCACCTGATCCTTAAAACACACCACATGATTTGCCTGCCGGATTCACAGTTCCTGCTTCAGTTTCAGACGATCATGATTATGGAGTGTTTACTGTGTTATTTACTGTGTTGTTTACTGTGTTGTTTACTGTGTTTACATGTGCTGCTTTTTGAGCATCTGCACCAGCTTGACACATCATCATTCAGAAACACACCTGCAAACATGACTTTAGTTTGATGTGACATCTCGGCTCTGAATCGAGTGATTCTCTCGAGTTATGTTCAGCTGTGTGTGTGTGTGTGTGTGTGTGTGTGTTTTCAGGTTCTCCTGGTTCCTGGAGGAGTGTTCAACATCGTCAGCTCAGATCCCTGTCCGTATGTTAGAGCGGCTTTCTCTCTCTCCACACCTCAACAGATCGATGAGGTACACACACACACACACACACACACACACACACACACATAAATAAATAAATAAAGAAATATATATAGACACACACACACACATAAATAAATAAATAAAGAAATATATATATACACACATACACACACACACACATAAATAAATAAATAAATATATATATATACATACACACACACACACACACATATAGTAGTGGCTGACGCTTTTTTTTTTTTGCATAGAACAATAAAACCTGTAGCTGTAGTTTGCCGTTTAATTTTGCCAAACAATTTTGTCAGATTTCAATTAATTTTGTCATTTATTTAGTTTTTCCTTCACATTTAAAATATATGTTTTTAAAATATTTGTAATTTTTCAAAAATATTTTAAAAACTAAATAAGCGACAAAATTGTATTACTATATATGAAGAGTTCAGATGCAAAAGCCTCTAAATGCCATTTGACATTTTCTTCTTTAATGATGATTTTTATCAAACTTGTATATTTAAGTTCAGTAATTTCACTTAAATAACAATTAATAGGTAATTATCATTGCCATTTAAGTGAAATCACTGAACTTAAATATACAAGCTTGATAAAAATTATCATTCTAGAAGAAAATTTCAAATGGCACTTAGAGGCTTTTGCATCTGAACTCTTCATATATATAATTTATATTTGGGGTTGGTAAGATTTTTTAATGTATTTGAAAGTGCCTCTTCTGCTCACCAAGCCTGCGTTTATTCAATCAAAAATACTGTAAAAACAGTGAAATATTATTACAATTTAAGGTAACTGTTTCTATGTGAATATATATATAGTAAAGTGTAGTTTATTCCTGTGATCAAAGCTGTATTTCCAGCATCATTACTCCAGTCTTCAGTGTGACATGACCCTTCAGAAATCACTCGAATATGATGATTTGATACTCAAGAAATGATTATCCTCAATGTTTAAAACGGTTGGACTGGTTCATATTTTGTGAAAAGCGTGGTACGTTTTTCAGGATTCTTTGATTGAATACAAATTTATTTAAAATATAAATCTTTTTATTACATTATAAATGTCAATTTTGCACTATTTAATGCATCCTCTCCTCGATGAATAAAAGATAAAAAAAAAAAAAAAAATTACTAACCACCAATATTTGATTGACAATATCATTGTAACATGAAGTCAGTCGAGTCCCTCGTGTTGCAGCACTTCAGATTAGTCCGTTTCAGGTTTTTAATGTTTCCATTTATATGATGCCTAAGAACTGAAGCACCTGTATTACTCTCCTCCTCATCCACAGGCGTTCAGGAGACTCGCTGATCTGATCAAGGAAGCCGTGTGAGTCGTTAATCTCCAGGAGGAAATTGGAATGTCTTTAATGTCCAGTATCATCAATTAAATGCTGCTGTCACGTGCCACACACACACACACACACACACACACAGACTCGATCTGCCCAATGTACTGCCTGTTTTGCACAACAGCGAACCCATGTTTTCTCAAATTTAAAACAATGTTTAACACTATCTCAAGATTGAAGAATTTTTTTCTCTTCATGTGGTGTGTATTAATATCAAGATTTGCTGCTGAAGTTGGATGTCTCTGGAGGCATTTCATGTGCTTTTAAAACTGGTTTATTGTGTAAAATGTTTAATAACAGAAAGGCGAAGGAATGTAGTTGTCCTAATCCGTTGATTGAATCTCTGTGTTGAATTGTGTCGTCTGTAGTTCACTGGTCAGCTGCTGTTTGCAACACACACGAGAATCAGATGTAGCAGCTTTTAAAACGGCTTTAAGCCGATGGACCCTCGTCACAGATTGATGACGCATTTCTTTTTTAAAGTAGTGTTCGTTTTTATCCGCATATCTTGCGTTATATTACAATGACTTGAAATTAGTTAACACTGCTGTGATGGGGTTTATGAAAGTTCTGCTTCAATCTCTCTATTGTTTTGTTATTTTTAAAAAGTCGTGGAAATGCAATAGTGTTTTTTGTTTACCTCTGACACTTGAAGCAAATGATAATCTGTCCCTCCAGAAAAACGCGATTATGCGATCGCTGCAATTCAATGCAAAATCAGCCAAAGTCCGCATATTTATGCGGGGCCCCATTTTTTCAAATACGCCGCACTTTCGCCGCATAAATTGCCGATTTCCGTGCAAAATATGCGGGGTTTGCATAATTTCATAATCCTCGCATTATTTATTATTTATTATTTAGCAGAAAGTTAAAAAATGTTCCGTTTGCTTCACACAAGAGCAGCCATTTCCCCCTGTTTCCATGGGAACGTTATGAAGTGACGCAATTACGTGACGCCAGACAGACTCACGGAGGCGATTGACATCTCACAAATCGAACTCGTATAACTGTCCGTCACACGTTCTACCGTCACATCGTTACTTAATAAACAACATAAGATAAAAGAAGTAGCATCAAACAGAAATTACCCGCACACATGTGGTGTTCGAGGCGCACATATAACACTGCAGAGAGTTCAACAGGGAGCGCGCAGCTCTTAAAGGGGCCACACCTTATTTACACTCGTTATAGTCTGAAATAAAACAAGATGAGAAATTAAATATTCCCAGCACTTTCTATGATGTAGTATGCTTGCTTATCAAAGGAAGTAATAAGAAATTACTCTTACATTAGCCTAGTGAGAACAGGATGTTGGGGGAATCACTGAAAAAGAGAAATCTTTTTCATCAAACCGCAATTTTTGCAAGTTCTCTCAATTTTTGCAAATTTCTGTAATTTCATCGCATAAAATTGCAAAAATATCCCGCATATTCCATCGCATTTTTAAAGAAAACGGGCCGAGTAATCAATCAATTTTTGCCCGCAACAATCACAAAAAAACTCTGCGTTTTTCTGGAAGGACTGAATACTATTATGGTAAATGTTATATATAAATCGCAAATTTTTTCACAAATTTTTGGAAATTACCACCACAAAATCAGTCATTTTGATCGCAAAAATCACAAAAAAAAAAATCGTGAAATCCTGGAGGGACTGGATAATGAAATAATATATTAGCGACGTCCTCCCATATGCACCGATAGAACTTGCTGTCGTTCTGTCTTTCAGAGAGAGAGTCCATGCTGGTCACCATTTGACTCAAATACGGGTTCATAAAACAATAAACTTGCATGTGATTGTGCATGACGGCAAAAAAATACTTTAATAAATCATTAAACAAACTCCATTAGTGTGTGTAATGCTGATTTTCACTCAACATCGTACTTTAACCAAAGATTTGCCGTATTTAATTGCATAAAATCCTATTGAATTGGTTAAACACTAATTTGCTACATTTACAATAAATAAATGGCTTTATTGGCATCTGTGGTTCCAGTGAGAACCTTTATTATCAATAAAACCCTTGCATTGAACAAAATATTCTTAAAGTGAAAGTTCTTTAGAAAATAATGGCTCTTTTAGAGGTTCTTTGGGGAAACAAAATGGCGGCTCTATCCTGTTGGAAGTTGGAACCTTTTATTTTTAGGTTTGGTGTGCTGGCTTTCACACTGTGTGTTGTTTCTGTGACAACAGCTTCTTTGTGTACACCACTCAGGGAAAGTGCTTAAGAAGGGCTCTCACACACACAAACACTCGCTCACTCACTCTGTGATAAATCTTCCTGTTAATGTGCATAAGCTCAGAGTTATACACTCACAACTGCTTTAAAAGCTATATTAATAGCGTGTTCGTGTGTTTCTTCAGGTTTCAATGGTTTAACACGCTGGTTATGATAAATGATCAACGTGCTGTAAAGTGGTTTGACATTGATCAACAAGGGCAGTTAATACTTAAACAGGACTGCAGCGTGACAGGTCGTAATACACACTACCATATTGTTTTGAGTTTCCCTTTTTAGGCTTGATTTTTATAATATTAAAAACAATGACATAAGCACCAAATAACTTTATGTGTGTACAAGGGGACAGCAATACAGTGGAAATTGTAATTCAAAATACTGTGGCAACAATAACTGAAAATTACTTTTAAAACTCCTTTTTCAGGGAGTAAAAATTACTTTTACTCCCTAAAAGGGTAACGAATTCCATGAAGTTAGTTACTTTTTACAGAAACCAATATGTAAAATAAAGTGTAACACCATATTCATATATAATGGTATTTACATAGTTCCATATGTTATCCACATGAGTACATACCAATAGTTACAGGACAAAGTAAAAGTTTTATAATGCAATAAAACATTGAATTAACCGGGCCAGCAAAAAAAGTAGGCCATCACAGGACTGTTTATTGGTTTCTTAGCATTAGTTTTCTGTATGCTACCACAGTGTTTGCAAAATATGCAACAAAACCAGTTAACTTTGAGGAAATAAACAAAACTGGGTGAAGTCAGCTCAAATAACAGGAAAAACTGGGCCAATTCGGTCAAAAAGGAAAAAAGATGGATGATAGGCACAGAAGATAGGAGGGGTTAAAGACCAAGCAAACATTACGCTTTACTCTGTCATATTTCACCCACAGTACATTATTTCTGGGTCCATGGATTACTCAAACGATTATTGGGTCACAACTTAAACCAAACCCACAAAAAACCTCAAATGAGCTTCGGCACGTCACATTTCAGGACGAACATCGAGCGATAAAACCGGCGGAACAACATGGTGTAAGTGTTATGCTGTTTATCGAGTAAAAAATATCGCTGTGTTTGTGACCGTTGTGGGAAATGTTACAAAAGGAAACGCTGCTGTTTTCGGCTATTATGCTAGCGGCAGATTCCGTCGTGTAAACTGCGACTGCGTTTTTTCATTCGCGTGATTTAAACGTAAACGGTAGGTGTTTTCTTGTTTATTCGTGTTGAATGGTGAGGGTTAAAGCACATGAATGTGGGGGAAAATGTATTTTTTAAGCTTCTTCCTTAGCGGATGGTGACTAGTCATATGACTAGCCGCAGTTAGCTCGAGCTGATTTCAGTTAACGTTACATTTGAACGTGTCAAATATAATTTAGACATTAACACACTGCGAATATAACTACCTGAAAACTCAAGTCGTGTCTTAGTTGGTTTGTATTTGAGTGTTTTGTAAACGTATAGATTTGTTGGTCGTACGTTAATAGCTTTTAAAATGACATCAGGCTAATAGCACAAGTATGCGGATCACGATTTGATTTAGACTAACGTTAGTCATATTAAGCTTTTATTTGTGCCCATTTTTTTATTTAAATCATGTTGATTTATCTTTATTTCCTCTAAATTAGTAATAGTGAGTTTGAATGTACATAAGACGTCAAATATAGATTGGATATGTGAAGTGTTTAAATTAGCATAACATTAAATGTCTGTATTTAACTTTTAACCCATTAATATGACGATTCCTGCCTCAGAAAATATGAGTCAGTTCTTGTTTTAGCACGTCCCCAGATAGCACAAGGGTATTTGATGTCCTATTTACATCGGGAAGACATATTTTTAAGAGTGTTTGCTCATCTGCAAGACGTCTATAGGACGTATCCTGTCAGATGTCAAATAGATGTTTATAAGATGTCAGTTTAACATGCATTCTAAATCATTACATCATAAAGACATCTTCTAAACGTCTATTTGACATCTGCAGGAAACGTCCTATAGACGTCTTGCAGATGAGCAAACACTCTAAAAAATACGTCTTCCAGATGTAAATAGAACATCAAACAACCTTGTGCTATCTGGGTCTTGTTATTCTTGATACGAGGAGGAGGAGTCACAGGTTTTGTGTGCATAACTTGAGTTAAAAAAGCCATTCTGACGAATCAAATCAATTTAAATTGAATGTTCCTCTTTTTATTTGTCTTTCCAGTGATGCATCTGCAGGAAACATCAGGTACACCGGTGGTTAGTGCTCTCCATGACTGTAACATGAGGACCGGTGGAGAATGACATCTTATCTCTACTGTTGATACTGAAAGCCAGAGAAAATGAAGAGGGTGAATGGATACGTGATCATTTATTTAGTGTCCATGATTAGTTTTAGTGTGGCAGGGCCTTTGAACATCTCGGCAGTGGATGAAGATGCAAGAGAGAACGGGACAGAGGCAGATGGTGACGGCTCGGTTCCTGTGGTGCTCACCAAAATAAACCAGATCATCGCCCGGGAGGGAAACTGTGCTTTAATTGACTGTAATATCACCGGTGACCCTTTCCCAAATGTCCAGTGGTTCAACTCACACGGACACCTGCTTGACACACAGATGAGTGGTACGTTTACTGTAAAAACACCTCCCAACACCAATGCATTGTCGTCTATCACTAGGCCTACATCTGGTTACTTCATTCATTTTGGTGTTTTAAATGTATCCATGCAGACTGGATTTAAATCTTATCTAATATTCCTGCACTATATATAAAAGAATTTACTTCTTCCATTATGATTCACCCAAATGGCAGTGTTTTTAATAGTTAACAGCCCTATAGTGTCTTATTACTCTTATTATTTAATTTCTTGATCAAATCTATGAATTTGACTTGAAAGATGAATGCCCTGGCGGTAAATATATCTCACATGCGGATTTCAATATTTCAAAGCTGATAGAACACTAATGCGAAAATTGCTTCAGAATAAACGTTATTTACATTAGACATATCCAGACAAGCAACTTTGTGAATGACCGATTTACTTGTCCAAAGGATAAATAACTTATCACATATAAATAAATCTATATTTCTTAAAAACATTTTTACTGATCCCAAATTTCTGAACGATGAATGCAACAACGACTGAAGACGAACAAACGTCAGTCGCAACGTAAACATTTTGTCTTTGCTGCGTCTACATATTCATAATAAAATCCTAATCAACACTTACTGTAGACGTCCAGTGGTTTTACTTAAAATGCAAATGCCTTCGCTACAAAAAAAACCAAAAAAACACGTTTTGTGCTGATTTTAGACGTTTTTGAAATGTGTATAAACATTTTGGCAATGACCACAGTGGATATTTTCCATAATTCATTATATCCTCTCCTGAGATTTGAGCTTAATCTGTTACGCAATGATTTGATCTTTTAATCTGATGGTCTAAAACGTGAGTCGGTGATTCTCAGCTGTAGTATAAGTGATGTTTGGAGGATTAGGTGTGTGTTGCAGGCGTAGCGTATGCTAAAAATACTAGCAGTGTTTTACCAGACGTTATATGGAAACATCTTTGCTTTTCATTTGGGTGTGTTGCAGTGTGAAGAATGAGCGTGAACTAAAGACAGTTTGACATGTTTTGTCTTGCCAAAAGACTTGTCGACACATTACTTATTTAAAATGAGATTAAATCATAATGACCAGGATGACTTGACTGACATAGTTGTTGGCTTTCAACGTTAAATGACATTCACAATCTATTTAACTTTCATACTGTATTTCAGTGAAGCAAAAAAAAAAGCAAATGTGGAGTGGAGTTTCGCTTTAACCATCAGAAATTTGAAACTTGAGAGATTTAAGCCTGATTTTGATTCATCAATGCATGTTCTTCATTCACAATAAGACCAGGGGCCTGTACCATGATGGTAGTTGAACAAACTCAGGGTTGCATGATTAGTTTCGAGTTGACAAAACCAAACCAATCCAACCAGGCTTCGTTGGGACCACGATGCTGATCATCAACTTTCTCTGTCAACTAAGGCTTTGATCCTGAGTTTAGGTGTGACCTCAGGTAGCGAACAGCCAATCACATGCTGAGAAAGAGTGAAACTCGTTTAAAAACTCATTGAAATTAATTTCTCGCGAGAGAAGTACCGCAATACCACTTTCACGGTACATAAAACCCTAAAAAACTGAAACATAGCTGGCTAGCCACCTAAACCAGCTTCATGGTATAGACTCCTGGATTTTGCTTTATGAAAGTAAATGGTCTATTTAGATTTCATATTATTGACTTTACTTGCTAACTATTATAGGTATAGTCTGTGTAAAGATCAAATGATTTTGCTTTGCTTACATAATTGCTGAATTGTGTTGATCTCTCATGTACTACTAGCTCTAGCTGTACTTAGTTGAATTTAGCTCTAACTTATGATTAATTATGGATATTTGGGTCAGTTCATTGGATTAACTTGACATGGCTAAATTAATATTACAATCAATTAATCAGTTCGTCCAACAAACTCTTTTGATTATTAATTTATTTTAAGAGAAGGGTATATTCCATTGCCATAGAAGAAGAAGAATGTCTTGGCATGTATCAAGATCGTAAAAGAGACTTTGTTTGCAAGCCGTGAATTAGAACCAAATACATAAAGTGCCCAAGTTTTATTAACTAAATCATAAACATGACTAAACTAAACAAACATACATAAATACATTTGTTGGAAAATGGACTGAGAGATGGACTGATGTAACGATGGAGAAGATCCATCTAACTTTGAAACGAACCAACAGCATTTCATTTTCACATTTCATTGAATTGAATAGTTGCATTTGTATTGGGATCAATTCTTCAAGTTGTGGAAAATTGAAGTCGTTGAGGGTTCCTTGTGGCAAGTGGAAGTTGTTTGAAAGTTATCTTTCTCCATGAGCACATGGCTAGTTTGGGCATAGACAGTAAAAGAAATGGACAGAGCCATCTCATTGGAACTCCATTGAGATGATTGAAGCCCGTTTTTGGCGATACTATTATTATTATTATTTTTTTTAGCACTTCTGTTCTGTCAGAGTTTCCATCCACTCCAGACCCTACACTCAGGTTGCTTCCAGTTAGAAATCCATTGGCAGACTGGTGCCAAAAATTCCTTTTTCATTCGTTATTGATATGGAGTTTATAAATTCCCGGAGCACTTTTAACACTTATGTGTGAGCGTCCTTTGGACCAGGTGGAAGGTTAAAGGATCGGAGATCAGTTTGTCTGGTTTCTACACAAATAAGGCAGAAACTGTCCCCGTATCAGTGTCCGTATGTAAATATATGGATTATGCAAAGTCTGTTAATCGTGGCCACAGTATCCATGGATCCACGTTTTGTACTTTCATCTAGAGCATTGGGTTTACAAGCAGTGTGGGTTTACAAGCACAATGACCTTTATGCCCAGCTGCACTACTTCCTGAACTTCAGCCAGCTCCTTGTTTCCTGTCTGCCATTATTGGCCAAATTGATTAATTCAGGTGTACCTGACCTCAGTAGTCATGGCAACAATAATCAGACACACCTGAATTAATCAATTTGGCCAATAATGGCAGACAGGAAACAAGGAGCTGGCTGAAGTTCAGGAAGTAGTGCAGCTGGACATAAAGCCAATTGTACACCAGGAATCGATTTGCGTAGTAACTACTACGCTCTTTTTGCCTCTTATCCCAGTTTCACTTTTGTTTGCAACCTTGTGCATAAGCTCACCACCTTTTCTTCTGTTTTTGTAACGTCAAGATGTTTTTCTTGCATTATCGCATTATTACATCTTACCTGGAAAACCGGGAAGCACTTGATTGTGATCTAGTAATTGTAATGTGAGATTTGTTGCCGTTTATGAAACTAAACGGTAGTGATGTGCGATGGTATTTTTTACAAGTTCACAAGATACTGGATATATATATATATATATATGTATATATATATATATATATATATATATATATATATATGTATGTGTGTGTGTGTGTGTATATATATATATATATAGACCAACGCCACTTTTGCGTCATCGAAGGGTAACGCCCCCTTTTGGGGGAAAACACCTCTATACTGTCTATGGGAAAACAAACGGATTCCCATGAGAACAGAACTCGCACTAGATCTGCAAAGTTTCTTGATAGCAAAAATGGCACAAACTTAAAGAAGCTAACGTTACTGAATACGGGGTTACAGAGGTTTCCCTTTGAAATGGTCGAAAACTGGATTAATGACCCCACACAGCGGCCAAATATGGACTATTCAGACATCTAACGTTACCACTATCTCGTGGAATCACCAAATAAGTAGCCTTTTTTATTTATTTATCATTTACACACTCACAGTAGCCTATTACAAACTACTAGACGATGAGGCCATGTCACTTGGATCATAGTTAACTTGATTTAAGCTATTGACAGTTTTGTTGTCGACTAGCTATTAGAAAGACTAGCTGTTAGCAGCTAACGTTACCTTATTAGACTATGTTAATAGCTTAAATCAAGTTAAATATGATCCATTCATCATCTAGTTTGTCATACTGTGAGTGTTAATGAAAAAAAAGGCTAGCTACGTGCTTACTTGGTGATTCCACGAGATAGTGGTAACGTTAGATGTCTGAATAGTCCATATTTGGCCGCTGTGTGGGGTCATTAATCCAGTTTTCGACCATTTCAAAGGGAAACCTCTGTAACCCCGTATTCAGTAACGTTAGCTTCTTTAAGTTTGTGCCATTTTTGCTATGAAGAAACTTTGCAGATCTAGTGCGAGTTCTGTTCTCATGGGAATCCGTTTGTTTTCCCATAGACAGTATAGAGGTGTTTTCCCCCAAAAGGGGGCGTTACCCTTCGATGACGCAAAAGTGGCGTTGGTCTATATGAAGAGTTCAGATGCAAAAGCCTCTAAATGCCATTTGAAATTTTCTTCTTTAATGATGATTTTTGTCAAACTTGTATATTTAAGTTCAGTAATTTCACTTAAATAACAATTAATAGGTAATTATCATTGCCATTTAAGTGAAATCACTGAACTTAAATATACAAGCTTGACAAAAATCATCATTAAAGAAGAAAATTTCAAATGGCATTTAGAGGCTTTTGCATCTGAACTCTTCATATATACACATACATACATGTATAGTATAGATAGTATAAAAAATCGATAGTATAGTATAAAAAATATCTCTATGGCAGTTTTTCCCAATGGTATCAATGTCAAAATCATGGCCAGTGAAATTGCTAAACGGCTAGTAACTCTGGAAAACCTTTAGCCACAGTGCCTGCTTAGCAAAGAAGTTAATGACACACACAAACACAAAATTATTTAATACTTGCACAGTTGTGTTTGGAGTCTGGAGTTTCATTTGTAATAGTGCATTAAACATAACGAATTGTGTGGACATCATTTTGATCCAGGCTGTCATACAAACGCATGCAAAAGGCTAGTCTTGTATGCTTTTTTCTGTGTTTTTCTATGCATTTTAGTTTTGTTTTTTGCATAGTGAAGTAAAACAAAACCTGCAGCTCATATTTTGATGGTATAATCAAATATGTCGTGTCATTAAAAACAAACTCTGCACATTGTTTTACTTTATTGTTGTACGTATTCATTTTCGCTGAGATTTCACTGAAGTTCAAGATATGCTTTGTCTTGAAGTGAGCGGATTAGACCTTCCATGATCTCCAGTATGTGAGTTTTCTCTCTCTTCTTCTCCCTCAGATGGTAAATGGTGGCTTCTGGACAATGGCATCCTCAACATCACCAGCATCACGTTTGCAGACCGTGGCAAATACACATGCGTGGCCTCCAACGCGTACGGCAAGGCCAACTGCACCGTGACTCTGCGTGTGGTCTTCACCAATGGAGATATGGGTGTGTACTATATGGTAGTGTGTCTGGTGACGTTCACCATCATAATGATTCTCAACATCACTCGCCTTTGCATGATGAGCAGCCATCTGAAGAAAACCGAGAAGGCCATCAACGAGTTTTTCCGAACGGAAGGTGCAGAAAAGCTTCAAAAGGCCTTTGAGATCGCGAAGCGTATTCCCATCATTACCTCAGCCAAAACGCTGGAGCTGGCGAAGGTCACGCAGTTCAAGACCATGGAGTTCGCGCGCTACATAGAGGAGTTAGCGCGTAGCATCCCGCTCCCGCCGCTGATCATGAACTGCCGCACCTTCATGGAGGAGATCCTCGAGGTCGTCGGCGTGGAGGAAATGAGACACACCTTCGTCCGACAAGCACCCGAGCTTCACGAAGGCCCCGGCGGAGTGGTCGTCAGCACTTCCAGGGACGTTTTCTCAATCTTGCACGAGAGAGAGCGGGCGAGGGAGAGGGAACGCAGCGAGTCTCCTGCCGCGGACTCGGACGACGCGTCGCTTCACGAGCAGCCTCGACACATGGCCATTCAGGTTTCCATTCATCCGCCGCTAGCCGACGCTGGGTGCTGTAACATGGAAGCTCCGCCTCTTCCCGAAGTGGTTTCTCCACCGCCTGTCGATCAGCTGCCTTTGGAGGCGGAGTCTGAAGATAAGGAAATCAAGGCGGAGTCTGTCGAAGAGGAGGGCGTGACGACGCAGAATACCCAAGTCATTTACGAAAGCCATGTGTAATATCTTAAACTAAGGGTAATGAGCTCGCTATGCATTCTCTTGGGGAAAGAAAAAAGGTCAAGATTTGATTTTCTTAGAAGTTGCATTTGTGTTAGTGTGAATCTCTCAAAACTTAAAAAAAAGAGTGTCAGGGTCGTATTTCGTCGTAAAATCAATCGAAAAGAGAAATAAAATAAAGCTTTTATGTTGTAACTCATTTCAGTTTAGCAATTTAAACCCCGCTATTGTAATGCAATACGTGTTTTTCTCATTACTGTACATTTAAAATATAGACATCATGCTTGTGTTTGAATCAATTTACAATTGATGCTGATTAAACAGAATTATTGTCAGTGCAATAATTATGCGGATATAAATCAAAGGGTATTTGCATTATATAGTGTAATGAGATTTTCTTCTTTTTTTGCATTACGGTAAAGATAATTTGGGGACTAAATTCGCTTAAAATGACGTTCACAATCCCAAAAAATTATTCATGTTCTTAAAAATGTAATTTTCCGTTTTGGAAAAAACCAAACATTTCTTTTGGTTTTGGGGTGAAATATTACCTTCTCACTTCTTTTGAGTTTGACTTGTTAAATTGTTCTTCCCAATGACAATGAATACTCATGCTGAATGTATTTTGAGGCAAAGTTCTCGGTTGATTTCAAAATCCTGGTTTGCCCATGGATTATTTCTGTCTTGTGTAGTTAATAGAAACTACACAAAGTTCACATCTTGTGTCTTAATCGACAGACAGGAAGTAGTTTTACTGTTGGATGTTGTTACAGATTGTCCACTTCATGAATGAATGAATGAATGAGAACGGACGACTGATTAATGCATTTGGCTGAAAGAAAAACACAAACCATTTGAGGCTGTAGTGCATTTTCCATTTAATAGAAATCAAACATTTTTCACTAAAGATTAAATTATGATTTTTGCTTCCTCTTACAATGCATGAAGAATGCATGTCAATCTTTTCTCAATGCTGGATTTGGAGAGACTTTGTGTGTTATTTATCCTTTGTGTCATGTTGGCCAGGTAAATGGCATCGACCCTTGAATAACATTGAGAAATCTCAGTTTTGAGGCATTCGACTTTCCACTGGAGTCCTTGTACTGTTACTGTAATTAAACATAGTATTATTACTTTATTAGTAAGTGTTTTAGTCTCAAATGCACAACTTGGTGTCTTTTTCTTTCTTTCCTAAGAGTAAACTGTTGCAGGCGTCTTTGTTTCATTTGAAACTCTACATAACAGAGTCTTGACGATGTTTAATCTCCTGTAATTTCCAAACCCATAGTTTTGCTTCTTAAAAAGGCTTTACCTCTTAGTTTCAGTGCAAACGTGTTCTAGTTCTTCAATGTTGCTGATCTTGCTTTGTTGGACGTCTAACGCCGGAGTGACCTGCAGTTTGTCCAACGCACTGATGGTAACATCTAAGCACTAGTCATTCAGATTGTTCCTGGAAACGATGGCCATTATACTCTTCAAAACGCTGTTTAAGTAGTGAAATAAAGCTGCTGTTGTACCAATGATGTTCTGTGTGTTTGCCTTCATTCGGGTGAGGAGCTTTTGTATCATTCAAATCTCTCTCTTCATAGACGCTTGCTGATCTCAGTGCCTTGCAGATCATGTTATTTTCTCAGATCCTTGCCTCACAAATACATTTTTGTTGTCTAGTGTGTTTTTTTTTTTTTATTCCACTCAAACGTTTTGAATTATAGTAGATTGTGTTTGAGTGTTCGAATAAAAGGTTTTCAGTTAAAATGCTGCAGTAAATTGTGTTAGATATATATATGCTACTGTTAAAATGCATGAATAAACTGCTGTAGACATTTGATCTTGTGCTCATTGATTTGCATATGAAGATGTCTGATTTTAAGGTGCAAAATGAAAAATTACTAATTATTCACTTGACCTCAAGTTGGACCAAATCTGTATCATTTTTTTTTTTAACCTCGGAACAATAGTAGATTTTTTTTAATGTTTTTTAATTAATTTAGCTTATTTTTGATTAGACATTGATAGCAGTCATATTGCATAGATTCACTGAACAAAATATACCATCTGTAAGACTATAATAATAATAATTGTGCAACTGTTTACTCATTAGTATAGTGCAGTGATATAAATCACTCAAAATATGCAATTTAATGTTATATGTATATTGCAATTGTATGTAAATGTAAAACTTCTGTTGAAATGCTGTAAAGCGTTTGCTCATAAAGCAATATTAAAGGGTCATGAAACCCCAAACCAAATTTTCTGAGATTATAACAGAGGTATGTGTGTTGAACACCATTGAAGACAATGTTAGCATCTGTTAGATTTAATAATAAGGTTAAA